TCTTTAAAAGAAATACTATAGCATTTGATGACTTTAAAGAGAGCCATTAAACTTTTAGCCAGTCTGAGTGAAATTGTTGAACTGCATTCATTTTATAACACCATAAAGAGAGAAATTCCTTTTGTTTCCTTTTGTAAGCTTTCAATTTTTTTTCACAAATGACACACTGTAAACTGTAAGTCAAGTAGCCTTGCAGCATGGAAAGGTTGACAGGCTAGCCTAATTGCAAACACAGAATTCTTATTTCAAACGCTATAAGGTTTATTGGGTTTCTTCTTCACTAACATCCTAAAGATTTAAAGACATTAACATGGTCCTGTTGTCACCATCCAACTATATTAATTCAGTTGTTTCACCACAAAACAGAAATTTGGCCAATTGAGATGACCACATCAGATTGTCAAGCCATTCTGGCCAGTAGAATAAAAGTAGTGCATTACATACGGACTACACAAATTCAGAGAAATTGATTCCAACGGTTTCCGACCAACAATACCGAATCATAAAATGTTAGAACAAGAAATGGATGCCCAGTGTTTACATTTATATCTATGTCCTTTATTGCCAAATACTGGAAACAATCATTATATAAAGAACCCTGGGTTCTTATTGTAAGTTGTGATGCCCCTACCTCTGAGCCACAGACCCGTGTTCAGGTCCCACCAACTGCAGAGGTGTGTAATAACATCTGAGAACAGTTGATTAAAAAATATATGTTAAAGAATCCTTCACAATTTTGAAGATCTCTATCAGATTATACGTTGTATTTAAATTAATAAAAAGCCCAAACTTATCAATGCTAACTTCATATCTGTAATCATAAATCCTTGATAAAGTCATCGTAAATTTACATTACATCTTTCCTTTGCTGTATTTATAACATGAGATCTGAACACATGGACATGCCAAAATCATGACACAGGGATTCTTTACTCCATTGGTGCCAGGTCATTACAAACAGGACGGAAATGAAGGTTAAACAAGGAAAATACAGTGTTTGTATGGAATTATGCCTGTGGTTTACATTTGGTTGAAGAAATCCTTTGTCTGTCTCATCCTTCTCCCAACTGGCCACCTTTCACCAAAGATACCCTTTCCTCCAAACAGGATCGATTCAACTGGTCTATCTGCCATGCTTGGAGCCCTTCCTCGCCATCATTACCTCTGTTGGAGGTCCCAGCACAACTGCTTGACTGCCCTGCTTGGTACTCTCCTTGGCCATGCAATCTGTTGTTGGAGGTTCCATTACACCTTTTCCTTGAGACTTGCCATCCTGGCAACTATACATAACACACAGTGACCATTTGTGAAGCAGTATGTGATTAGCAAATTCAACTGTGTCATGATGATTAGATTATTTGGGCCTACATTTGTGGTAGCATTCCCTTCTTGTTTCACCAATCTGTGCAAATGGTAAAGAGATGGGGTGATATCAGCATTTTCTTTACAAAACATTCTCCAATCTCTTATCTGTACTGATAGCTTCTTCCAAAAGGACCCAAGTTCTGTGGTGGATCACTCACATTAGTGTCTAAGTTGGTCAAGTTTCCAGGAGTTGTATGATCAGTGGCATTTGTTGCCTTAGTTTTCGCCTCCCAACAGGTTCTTCCTGCAGTTTTCTAGGATGTGAGTCAGCCTCTTCCTACTGGAGGTGATCCCGGATTAACAATACACAGGTCACACCAGGATTCCTTATCGTTATCCAATTCCACCTCACTCGAGCCATCACCTACTGATACTTCAGATTCCACAATACTGCTGAGTGACCTTCTTGCTTCCACATCATCCACCACATTGCTGACCTTAAGCAACTTGTGAACCGTTTTCTGAAGTTGCCCCCCAGCTCGATGTGGCCATCTGTATCAGTCACCTGATGATTCTGTGGGGTTCAGAGTTCCAGACATCTTGTATCTTATTCTGATGCCCAATATTCTGATTTCAGAGGAATACCCTTGCACCAATTGGAAGGTCAGTTGTTACAGAGATAGTAGGAACTGCCGATGCTGGAGAATCTGAGATAACAAGGTGTAGAGCTGGATGAACACAGCAGGCCATTTCTGAAGAAGGGTCTAGACCCGAAACGTCAGCTTTCCTGCGCCTCTGATACTGCTTGGCCTGCTGTGTTCATCCAGCTCTACACCTTGTTATTTCGGAAGGTCAGTTGTGTCATCTTTGCGATTGTTCACTTTTTTACTGCTCGGTGTTTCTCTCAATTCTCTTGGATGCCATCTCAAGCACATGGCTTGGCTTTGTGTGACTTTTGTGAAACCACTCAATGACATGACAACCTCCATCAGGAGATGTGATAAGGCCACGGAGTGGTCCACAGACAGGACTGAAACTCATACAAAGAAGAGATGGTTTGGAGAACAGCCTGTGGATGAGTGTGGGCTGTCATTATGAGCATAAATCAGCTTTGAAAGATACTCAGACCACTTTTGTTTACTCTCAGGAGGCAAGGTGCGCAGATAGTCATGCGGAACAACGTTGACTCATTTGTACCTCCCATTACCCCTCTTAGCAACACTATAGACTTTGTGAAGCCTCTGTAGGAACATGCTCTCCAAGTTGCAAGTCTGGATCATTGTGAATCAGACATGACACACTGATATGGACAAGCTAATCATGTACTAACACCCTTTCTATACTTAAGATCCTTTGGTCATGGATGGGAATGGTCTGCCTGAACTTGGTGAACACATCTGTAAATACTAGAATGTGCTCAGTCCCATGACTACCACGGCCAGATCCTCTAAAAGTCTCTTGTTGGAGGTTCAGTTATATATTGTTATCCTGTATTTTGGATCATTAGATGTCTTACCTGATTTGTAATTTTTAAATAAATTGCATCAGACACACCGCTGGTAATAATAATGATTACAATTTTCTGAAAAAAAATTAAAATTAAAAATCACATTTCCATCCGTTACAGCATTACTGTAAAAGATGCAGCAGAGTGGAACTTCATCATAGAATCATACAGTATAGGAGAGATCCTTTGGCCCATTGAGTCTGTACTTCCAAAAATATACAACCTATTGTAGTCCTACTTTACCACACTAGACCCATAGCCTTGAATGTTATGATATATAAAGCACTCATCCGGGTACTTTTAAAAGATTGCGACGTCTCCTGCCTCAACTACCCTCCCAGGCAGTGCGTTCCAGAGACACACCACCTTCTGGGCGAAAAAGTCTTTCCTCCAACCCCTTCTAAACCTCCTGGCTTTCACTTTAGAATTATGCCCCATTGTTATTGATCCTTCAACTAAGGGGAACAAGTGCTTTCTATTCACGCTGTCCTTGCCCCTCATAATCTTACACATCTCTATACATCACCCCTCAACCTTTTCTGCTCCAAAGAAAACAATCTGAGCTTATCCAGCTTCTCTTTATAGCTGAATTACTCCATCCCAGTGAATCTCCTCTGCACCCCCTCCAATGCAATCACATTCTCCTGTAGTGTCATGACCAGAATGTACACAGTATTCCTAATGGGACCTAATTGAAGTTCTGTACGGCACCAATATAACTACAGTGGTCTTATAATCAATGCCATGACTGATAAAGGCAAGCATCCTAAACGCTTTCTTAATTACCCTATTAACTTGTCTTGCCAACTTCAGGAATCTGTGGACATGCACTCCAAGATCCTATGTTCCTCTGAGCTTCCTAGTGTCATGCCATTCATTGAATACTCCCTTGACTTTTTCCTTCTTCCAAAGTGCACCACCTTACAGGGCTAAATTCCACCTGTCACTGATCTGCCCATATGACCAATCTTTTTGTATTCTCCTGGTAAGCTAACACATACCTCCTCACTAAAACCACCCGGCCAATCTGTGTGTCATCCACAAACTTACTTATCGTGCCTCCCACATTCTGATCTACATCATTTATAAATATCATGAACAATAAAGGACTGAGCACTGACCACTACACATCAGACTCCTATTACACAAACTACCTTCAACCACCGCCCTTTGTCTCCTGTCACTAAGCCATATTCAAGCTAATGTGATACCTTTGAAAATGTGAACATTTGATATTCTCTGGTACATAGAACTCTGGCATAATTTGTCTTGTTTTATGTATGATGCCTTGAGATAGGAAGGTGCTAGGAAGGTATGATACAAGTTAGGTATCCCTAAGTAGTGCTGCAGGAAAGTCTGTAAATGCCAGAGGTGGTTGAGGTAGAAAGACGACTTCACTGTGTCAGTTTATGAGAGTAAAGCAGATGTAACACAGGACAATTTTGAGGATAAATGTGCCCTGCTCAAACCATATCTGAAAGATATCTGACCCAATGTGAGGGTTGACCATTTCTCAGCAGTGACCATTTTTCAGACCAGCTGGTCAAAATAGGCATTTGGACACTCACAACAACTTGCAACTGCATACTTCCTTTAATTCAGTAAAACATTCAAATGTACTACACAGGAACTTAGTAAAGAGGCAGAAAGAGGTGAAGAAGTTTAGGGAAATAATTCTATAACTTAGGTCATTGGAACTGAAACAATGGTGAAGCAATTAAAATTGGCATTACACAAGGCCAAAAATTGAAGATAAACAAGTAAAGGAAAGATCTTGGAAGGTTATGTGGCTGGTGGAGGTAAGCGAATTTGGGACAGCTTAGGTAGAGGTAAAATATTTATATTTTTGCTTTTGTTATTATGTCGTTGGCTTCAAGATAGCACACTAACTTTCTGTATCTCAACAATCCATTCTAGTTTTAACCTACTTGTACAGTGATCCATCTGAATAGGTTCTGAAAAAAAAGTCAATGTCTACATTGAGTATCAGACTCCCTCACATGTTTTCACTCAATATATATGTCAGAATTGCACCTAAGTGTTTACCTCCCTCTCTTGTTTAAAGCAATAAGCTGTACTCTATGGCTAAAAGATCTGCATTTGGTTCGTGAGCCTTGGTTTGATGACCTCTGATATAAGGGTACCAATAGACAGTAAAATAACAAAGATTCAGGGAATGGTGGCATACCTGATCTGAGTTCTAATTCACGGAGAATTCTCTCCTTTCGGTCAGGTCCTCTCTTGCTGATTGACTTCACTAGCCATTCCAGGTTCCATTGTCTCCAAGAAAATGGTAAGGGCTTTAGACCTACAAATTATAACAAAAAATTAACATTGGAGTTACTTAATAGAGTAAGGAAATACATTTGACATTTTATTTACATGAAACATTGCTCGTGCTAAGTGGGGAGGTGGGGGCCAAATGCTCATGATTAGAAGAGCGAAGGGCAAAGTGAATGCTCTGGGGCCATGGCAGCTGTTGGAATTCAAAATCAATTAACAAACATCTAGAACAATGGTAACCATGCAAATGGTCATAAAAGCATGAATACTGTTATAAAGATGTTGTATCCAACAGCTACAGAAGTCAAAAAAGAATTAAATCAGATTGGCCACCTTGCAGTGAAAATGAAATGGCAGCCCCATCTGTATCAATCCTGCAAACTTTTCCTTGGGGGATCCTAAGAGCTGTCTCACAGATTAATCAAACAACGGCCTGAAACAGTCATACTCACAGAATCTTGCCTTATAGGCAACATCACAAACACCACCATCATCATCTCTGGTTATGTCCTGTCCCACACAAGTGGCAGGATAGTGGAACACAACTGAAATAGAGTTGCCCTCGGAGTCCTCAACATTGAAATTGAACTCCATAAAGTCTCATGGTATCAAGTCAAACATGGACAAGGCAACCACCTGCTATTATTAACCCCTTCCTCCACCTCAGTTGATTTAGTACTCATCCATGTTGAATATCAATTGGAAGACATACAGAGGGTGTCAAGAGTACAGAATGTACCTGGGTGGGAGAGACTCCAATATCCATTACCAAGGGTGTTTTTGTAGAACCAATACCGACTAGGATAGCTGAGTCCTAAAGAGCAGAGTCCCTAGAATGAGTCTGCCACAGATGGTGAGGGAATCAACAAGTGGGAAAAACTTCCATGACCTCATTTGTACCAATCTACCTGTTGCACATTCATCTATCCATGACAGTATTGCTAAGAATGGCCACTGCAAACTCCTTGTGGAGAGGAGATTCTATCTTCACATTGAGTACATTGACCATCATGTTATAGGACAGTCACATTTCCGTGCCAATAATCATGTCCCAATATTCCACTAGCCATCATAACATGTATAAAATCCCAATGAAACCACCAAAAGCACAAATTTTCCTGACTGACTGCAACACAACAAAAACAATTCAAACCAGCTTTCTTCAATAACAGTAAAAGAAATTTGTTCTGACATGCTTAACTTTAACAAGAGCAGTGAAAAGTTTTTAATTTAAAAACTTAAACTACTGTATACCTCTTCAGAACCCAAAATACACACCCACTCGTCATGATTAAGAGAAACAAAAGACAAACAGTTCAACACATATATTACGGGTAGAAAAAAAATACAGACATGGTAAACAAAATTCCAAAGATCAGAAGTCCACACCGCAAGGTGGAAAGTTATTTTTCTCACAGTCCTTTTGATTTTTGCAATGATGGTACACTGTTGTCTGTAGGATCATGGTTGTATTTGGATTTGATGGTTGATCAAGTAAACTCAGATCTTTTCTGGGAGTCTTTCTTTTAAACTTTCTTTTTTATCTTTTCTGACAAATGGGAAGAGAGAAAGAGAGAGGGAGAGATTGATGCTTTCTCCCTGAAGACTCTGGATGTTTCTTTGCACTCTGCTCCTCTTAGCAGTCATCTCTTCTTAACCAACCAGGAGGATCTTCTCAAGCAGAATTTCTTCAACTCAAAATATTCTTAGGGCCACTTAGTCTTGAAGTCTCCCTCTTAAAGCTTAAAAAAAACGTATCACAGACCACAACAATGCAATGAGATAGTTTAGGCTGAGAAGATTAGGGTGAATCCAAGGAGATTCTTTAAGTATATTAAAGGAAAAAGAATAACTAGAGAGAGAACAGGATCCCTTAAGGGGTGAACATGTGTGTGTGGAATCGCAGGAGATGGACGAAGTCGTCAATGAATATTTCTCCTCTGTGCTAACCATGGAAAAAGACATGAAGACTTGGGAACTTTAGGAAATTAGTGACAATATCTTGTGGACAGTCTATATCATCAGGCAGTTGGGAGGTGGTGTTGGAAGTATTAGAATGTATGAAGGTGGATAAATCTCCTGATCCTGACCAGAAATATCCAAGAACCCTGCAAGAGGCTAGAGAAGAAATTGCAGGGGCCCTGGCTGATATACTTGCATCATCGTTAGCCACAGGTGACATCCTGGAAGACTGGAGGGTAGCGAATGTTGTGCTCTTATTCAAGAAGAGCTGCAAAGAAAAACCTGGGAAGTAAGTTTAACATCTGTAGTAGGTAAGTTACTTGAGAAGATTCTGAGGTATAAGATATACAAGCATTCGGAAAGAGAGGGTTTGATTAGGAGTAGTCAACATGACTTTGTGCATGGGAGATCATGCCTCAAAATTTGTTAGAGTTCTTTGATGAAGTGACCAGAAAGGCTGATGAGGGCAGGGTGGTAGATGTAGTCTATATGGATTTCAGTAAGGCCTTTGAAAAATTCCACATGGTAGGCTGCTCTGGAAGGTTAGATCGAATGGAATCCAGGGAGAGTTGGCAAATTGATACACAATTGGCTTGATGGTAGGAAGCAGAGAGTAATAGTGGAAGGATACTTGTCAGACTGGAGGCCTGCGACTAGTGGTGTGCCTCAGGGGTCGGTGCTGGGCCCATTGTTGTTTGTTATTTATATCAATGATGTACAAGGCATGGTTAATAAGTTTGCAGATGACACTAAAATAGGTGGTATCATGGACAGTGAGGAAGGTTATGAGAAATTGCAGCAGGATCTTCGTTAGCTGGGGAAGTGGGACGAGAAATGGCACATAGACTTTAATAAGGATAAGTGTGAGTTGTTGCATTTTGGGAAATCAAATCAAGGTAGGAGTTTCATAATGAACGGTTGGGCCTTAAGGAGTGTAGTGGAACAGAGGGACCTTGGAGTTCAGGTGCACGGCTCTCTGAAAGTGGAGTCATAGGTAGACAGGGCAGTGAAGGAGGTTTTTGGCACACTGGCCTTCATCAGTCAGGGCATTGAGTACAGAAGTTGGGAAGTTATGCTGCAGTTGTACAGGATGTTGGTGAGACCGCACTTAGAATATTGTGTTCAGTTTTGGTCACCTTGCTATAGGAAGGATGTTATTAAACTGATAAGGGTGCAGAAGAAATTCACAAGGATGTTGCCAGAACTCAAGGGACACAGTTATAGGGAGAGGTTGGACAAGCTAGGACTTTTTCCTTTCGAATGTAGGAGTCTGAGAGGTTTTCTTATAGAAGTGTATAAGATCATGAGAGGCATGGATAGGGTGAATGCACTCAGTCTTTTTCCCAGGGTTGGGGAATCAAGGACTACAGTGCATCAGTTTAAGGTAAGAGGGGAAAGAATACATGGAAACCTGACGGCCAACATTTTTACACAGAGGGTGATATGCATATGGAATGAGCTGCCAGCGGAAGTGGTTGAGGCGGGTACATTAACAACATTTAAAAGGCATTTGGACAAATACATCGTTAGGAAAGGTTTAGAAGGATATGGGCCAAGTGCAGGGAAGTGGGGTTAGCATGGATGGACATTTTGGTCAGCATGGACAAGTTTGGGCCAAAGGGCCTGTCTCCGTGCTGTAGGACTCTATGCCTCTAATATGCACCACTTGATTTTCAAATTACAAAACTGCCTGATATTCCAGTCATAGAAGTTCAATAAAAGCAAAATACTGCAGATGATGGAAATCTGGAATAAAGACATAAAGTGTTGGAGAAACTCAGCAGGTCTAACAGCATCTGTGGAGAAATAAACAATGTTAACATTTCAAGTCTGATATAACTTCTTCAGAACAACTGTGTAAAGAACTGGAAACATGAAAATGTTAAATTGAATATTCAGAAATACAAACAATGTAAGAGCACAAAAGTTTGCATGTTTTATTTACCTGATAAGATGTGGAATTATACTGAATTTCAGTAATGTTGATTACACTTTTTTTAGTGGTATGATTACCTAGCAAACTTACACAACTGGAAACTGCTGACCCATTATGCTCAACATTTCACATAGAATTGGGTATTAGATCCATATAAGCCTTTTGGGAATGGTTATGAAGTCAAATAACACTTTTATGAAAGTACCCCACACAAGAAAAATCAATTTCCTACAATAGACAGTGCCTACAGATGGCCTGTTATCCGTGCCAGCTACAGCATCCTGATTCATAAATCTTTGGATCTATGATGGTACTTCAGATTATAACTCAAATCACAGTGTATTTTTTTAAAATGGCATTGACATTAAAATTCTGCTGGCATTTATGCTTAAAATAATTTATAAGAAAATTAGCAGTGATAAAACATATTAAACCATTTATTCACATTTACACATATTCTCTGGCAAGTGGAGCACTTATAAAAATCTCTAGGTTCTTATATGCATATGATCAATGTTAATATTTATCGATTTAAACCCATGATGTCTTCAAGGTAGTGTGGTATTAAATTTTTACCCAGGATTCCAAGCATACTTAGTTCAGAACCTTTGGTACATGATTAAAAGCAGTTCATCAATGTAAGTCACTAATTTGTTTACAATAATGGAAAATATATGGGGTCCTCATGCAGCATGAGAACAATCGAAAGCATCACAAAATTGCAGACTAAAATTATTCTCTTCCAATTTTTCATTTCTGTTCTGTTCTTGAGGGTGTTGGGTTTCTGCTGAATAATTCCACAGAGCCCTTGGTACCTCTGAAAATTTGGCATATCTGAAAAAATGGCAATAGGCTAACTGACTTTAGGGGACATCCTAGTTAAGCATGACATTATGTTCACGAAATGTCAGATGAACAAAACTTGGTTGATTTTTCTCTCTTTATCCTCTGACAGCTATTAGGCAGGCTATATCTAATGCAAACTAGTTTCTAATAATTGACAAAATTGGCATTATTACTTATTCAATAAATTATCACCATATTAAATACAGATGGTTGGCATTGCAATAATATCACTAAAGACTCTTATGGATTAGAAAGGCCATCATACTTCATCCATCTACACTGATCTGAGAGTGTTACCATTGCAGCACCCAATTATTTCTTAAGTTAATTTGGATGATTTACTTTTACTACTCTACCTGGAGGCTAATTCCAGATATCCATCTGTGTGAAAAAAAAATTGTGACAGTGTTCTAATTTTGCCTTTTATCGTAGAAAATGTATTGCCCAATTCTCATATTTTAATTTAGTGCAATTTAACATAATTTATTCAGGTCATTTTGTTGTAAAACATAGCTGCTTCTTTCAAAGGCTTTTTTCCAATATTATTCAGAAATTTGACCACTTTGCAATAGATATCAGAATCCAAATCATTACCATCAGTTACAGTAGTCAAACCAATCCCAATCCTCAAGACGCAGCATTAGCATCTCTCCTGCCCATCCTGCCACCCTTCCTCCCTACTAATACATTATTGTTCAATAGAGTCACTGAGTAACTGTAGGTATAGCAACTATGACACAATTTCAGCCATAGACAAGTGCAGGAAATATATGAGATAGAGACTGAAGAATTTTCCCAGGCAACATTAGGTGAATTTGCATGCAATAAGTCAAATCCTCTGAAATGTATTTTGGATCAAGATATTTGGATCCTTCTCTGGATTACTGCATAATAGGCATGTCCCTTGAATCTGGTAGATAAGGGTTAAAGTAGTTAATAAGATTATTATGAATCCTGCAGGGACCAGATGCAGAAGGTTCTGTCTGGTGTGCATATTTAGTTAATGAACATATGTCACCATTCTGTATTTCTCCTTCACTAGAGTTTGAAATTTAGCAACAACTTATTAGATGGAACACATCTTAGTATAGCTTTCAGGTGTTTGTCCAGTGGTTGCAAGCAATTTTACTTTGGAGAAATTGCTTAGCTTGTTGATTTGCACAACAGCAAACTTGCTTCTGCCTCCATCCAAATTACACTTGGATGCTGTTGATTGAAGGCAATTAAATAATTAAGACACTTTACATATATTTTCTTCTGGTTACTGAAATAAGCAAATATGTCAGTGCAAAAATGAAAAGGGAAAATTTGACAGGTTAACTTTTCTTCTTTATTCATGTTAGCCACCAGAACAAATATACACTTTAACTTGTTACACTTTATATCATAAGTGCAAAGTAATTGCAGAAAAATGCAAAAAAAGAAAGGAACGTGTGTTTTTGGTTAGTTTTGCCGAAAGGTTAACTGAAATATTAGATTTGTTTCTTTCTCCAAAGGTTGCTGCCTGGCCTGAGCATTTCCAGCATTGTCTGGTTTTATTTCAGATTTACAGCATGTGTAGTTTATTTTTGTGTTTTAGCAGTAATTACCTGACATTCTTTTGCTATTTGAAATGAATCTTAATTTTACAAACTTGAATGAGTCTATAGAAAAATACTCATACTCTAACTTTAAGAACACCTTTCAAAAAATTAGCCTACTGCATAGTCTTACTAATTTAGTTACAATACCTATTAATGAGAAACTCCAATGTAGCATCTAAAACAGTTGTGTAGTTCCAAGCTCAAATGTTCCTGACCTTATTAACAGCAGATGCTGCAACTTATTGCAAGTAGTACACAGGCTATCCACTACTATATATGAGTTTAGATAAAAATGAAAGCACAGACTGCAGACTAGTATTAACAGTCAAATAATTCATACCTGTGATCCAAAGTGAGAAAAGTTCAGTTAGCTCTTTCTTAAATTCATCCCCAAAATGGTTGTGCGATTCTGGGTAAGACTTGTAGAAAATTGCAAAGACAGCTTGAGCTAAGCAATCAGGATATACCTAATAGTAAAACAGAAATCAGACATAGCGTTAGATCAGCATGGATTTTCAGGTCGCCTGCATTGATCACACATGGGCTGAATGGAAAAATGAAAATTTGGAGAGGCATTAGAAGACATTCCTGCACAATACCTGCTCACAATTCTTTGTTCAGCTGCATTACACGTGCTACAACTTTGCAAGCATTTCATTTAAAGTCACGAAAAGCATGCAAACTATTGAATTTAAATGTTTTTAAACCTTACAAAACTCATTTTGAATGGAAGCTCTACATGCCAAGTACTTAAGGGGAACATATTTTGATTTAAGCACTGAAGCTTTGGTTACAGTTGCCGTTGTTAATGTTCGCAGTCGTTTAAAAGGATGATGTTGTATTTAGCACAGATTTCTTTTCCAGAACTTCTAAATAATTCGCTAACACGTATGTTTTAAATGTTCCTAAAAAGTTCATTGCTGCCCACTAAGCCATAGAGAGTGGACTGTAAAGGAATCATTTCCAGGGCATCAGGGAACAACAACAGAAACAAAAGGCCACATGAGAAAGAATTCCACTATAACCAATTTTCACAGGAATTCAAGAAGTCAAGATAGTTTGGTGCAACCTGCATAATCCTGTGGTTGGCAACAAGTAAACATAAAATTAATGCTTAGGGATATTTAATGTGGAAATGTACAAGATGAAATAACATATAGCAGAGATTCTACAGATACTTAAATCATGCTGGTCTTCAATACCATTAAGTCTAGTTGCTTGGTGTAACTAATTGTCTATAATTCAAATCTATATCTTTTGGCTGATTCATGCCTTTCTGGCAATTATATTTTGAGATGCAAGGTTGCCTGGAGAGTATTCAGCTTGGGAAAAGAATAAGCAGACTCAGGAATATACAAATGGATCTTTATCAACAATTGTATCTGGGCAGCAGAGGACAGACAAGGAAAAACTGAATTTGTGATCAAGAACTGGAGGACTCTCTCACTCTTTCTTTCTTTCAATCTCAAACCTAGCAATCCAGCATCGGTGAAAAAAGCAACTTGGATAAACCACTGTTGACTGAGAAATTAACGATATCTGCAAGTTTTGCCATTACGGAGGCAGCAGGATAGCAGTTAAATTGAGACCCTATTGAAATCTACAATTACCTTCATCTTCCTGTCTCCCCCACTCCCACAAACTCATTAGGTGTGTGTGTGTGTGTGTGTGTGTGTGTATACGCAGGTGCGTTTTGGTTGTTGTACTTTATTAATTTTTACGTTAATAAAATTCAACTTTTATTCTGGAAGATGATGGAATTGGCTCCACTCTGTGACAAAAAGGAGAAAAAATAGGTAGTTGCCACTGACCAAGATGATGTTAAAAAGGAAAGTCGTGAACCCTTCTCATCCAGTCATGACAACAGTCAGTAAATTTTTTGCTGAATCTAGACTAAAATTTCAACACTTTAAATTAAACCTCACCAAACACTATATTAAATACTGAAATTACTGATGGAAATCACTGACAGCATTACTTGGCTTTAGATTCACAATTTTTAATCTACATATTACAAAATGGCATTCTGCCTAAAAAAACTCTAAAAATCCGAGTATCATTCAACTTTCTTTGTGAGAAATGATGACGAATTATCACAGACCACAGGTTAAGAGGAGAGGAGTTCTATCCCCATGAGTCTGCATAACAGTGAGTGCCATTCCTTATCAGTACGGAGATGCCAAATGGAATTAAGCATACTTTCTGTGAGGGAGATTAATAAATGCATAATATTATAATGCATTTTCAACAACAATGTTGTTATGGAGGTAAATTGGCGTATGATCAGGAGATGAGAAGAAAACTTTCAGCATAGCAAAGGGATAAATGAGGCTTTGAAAGTGACTTTACAAAACATGGGCATTTTGTTTGATCGTTATGATTCTAAAATTATTATTTGGGGGGAGCTGCAGATAAATTATGACTTTGTCAATTTTAAAAGAAAGATATAAAAGGATAACTAGCAACCTTTTCCCAACTTCCAAAAAGAAGTTAGATTTAGCATGATATCAGATGACATGTAATGGAATGCATTGAGAATTGTTTGCCTGGTCTTAATCAGAACAGTCATCTTCTGTTTGGCCACAAGTATAATATTGGAGTGTTTGCGAATTGTTGAAAGAATAAATTGGTAACCAAATGACAAGGAAGCAGAATGTTTTTCACTCAGTGCTTTCTTTGCTGTATTAACATTCACTCTGGCTCACTTTCCATTTCCTTTCCTTGATCCATCCAACTTATGATTAAATGTCACAAATGTGAACTGGAAAAGTTGCAGGTTCAATTATTTTTTACTCGATTCTGGTAAGTACATTTCATGGATAATCATCACAGTCACTAAATCTTATTGAGATTAAAATAACTGATTGATTCAGTGTGTTGATCTTACACATAGCAAAGCTGTGTTTCTGCATTGAAACCCAAAAGATTAAATTATTGACCATAACTAGAAAAACAAAATCCAGAAGTTCAGCAAACTACACATTTGGAAGCTGTTGAAGGGACATAAGTTGAAGGAAAACATCTTTGTTACTGAGCAATGATAAGCATCTGTTATTCGTCATTAGGACTGCAGTATTGATGTGAGGTGTGATTTGAAGTTTGACTCTATTCTTGTGCCAAACATTTATAACAATGGTGTATGTTTACAGCCCTGCAGAAACCTGCACCAGCTGTGTTTCTACCTTTCCAAAAATAGTTAAAGAGTTAAGGATAATTACAGAATATCATGCATTAGCAGAAAGTGATACAGAACACTGTAACACCAATATAAACAACTACAGTTTGGCAAAAATGAAGCTATGCATTTCTTAATGGTTAGATTAAAAAACAACACTGGCATAGGCCTACAAACAGAACATTCATCGTCACAAGAGGCTACATAGAATTTACAGTGCAGAAACACAGTTCCAACTGGCCTTTGTCAGTGCTCATACTCCATACAAGCTTCTTCCCATTCTATTTTATCTGACACCATCAGCATATCCTGTCTTTCTTTCATGTACTCATGCAGCTTTGCTTTAAATGCACAAATAATACTTTGCCACAACCACTCAACGTGATCACAAGCTCCCATTCTAACCACTCGCTAGATAAAGTGGTTTCACCTGAATTTCTTATTGGATATATTAGTAACTGCCATGAATTAAATGTGAAGAGTGCACTGACATTCAATCCCCACCATTGCAAAATGTATAAATGTAAAAGATTTCAATGAGACCACCGATTTTCCTGACTGACTACAACTCAGAGCAACAGCAATTCACATAACTTTCTTCCAATAACAGTAATAAAAACTCTATTGTAATAATTTTAACAATTGCAGTGGAAAGAAAGGATTCTTTAATTTATGCAACTTAAACTATACCCTACAAAACCCCAAATACACACACATACAAAAGCCAAACAGTTTAACACACATTATTGGTGTAATAAAAAACAGGGTAAACAAAATTCCAATGATCAGAAGTTCAAGCCACAAGGTGGAAAGTTAACATTTCTCACAGTACTTTTGATTTTTGAAATGTCTGTGGACTAATGGTCATTCTTCAATTTGATGGTTTATTGGGTGAACTTGGGTTTTTTTGGATGCTCCTTTACATGCTCTTGCTCTTGGTACTTACAGTTTTTTGATATACTGCAGCCAAACCAATCAGACAGTTGCTGTTGGGCAGAATTTCCGAAACTCAAAAGAGCCCTGGGACAGATCAGTCTCAAATTCTCTGTCTTACTGCTTTGAAAAAAGCAACATCATACTTTATAGCTCAACAATGTACAACCAATGATTCTCAAGATGCAAAACTCACTGCCATTCCAATTATATTAGTCCAATTTCCATTTCAGTTTATTATCCCCAAAAAAAATGGAAAACATTTCTTACTGTAACCATCCTATATTTATGACACCTAGCTTTTGACAAGCTGAAAATATCTTTCCAACCTGTAATTAGTTGGGATTCTGAAAACTAGTAAAGACATATCACAGTTGTAAGAAGCATAAAGATCAGAAATCATGGATTGAATTTCAAGTCCCCACAAGCAGGTGGGCAAGTGAGGAGGTAACATTGAGTGGAATAGCAGCAGTACCATGTTCATGCCTGACCTGCAACTGCTGGTTTTATACATCAATCATACATTAAAGATTAGTTAAAACAATAATATGTGCTCTTCACTAGAATACAAGATTATATACATACGATGTTAACTGGGAGAGACTACTTACACATGTCGGATCTCCACCACTACTGCTATATTCTGTCATGGGTCTACTGCATCACATCTTGTTTCAATGCCCATGACTGACAGCAGTTTTAGATACATTCCCTTAAAAGTACATGCACATCATATTACACATCCTTTTTTTTGTAAGTCAGAGGTTTACCCTTAAATAATCAAACTATTAACATGGTGGTAAATTAAGTGATATTGCGCCAGCTTTTATATACTGCAGATGGGTTGAGACTGGGCAGAGCCCCCAAGATGCGCTTCAGGATCCTACAGATGTCCTGATGTATTGACTCCAAAGAAATTTCCTGGGAGATCTGAACTTCTAATGTGCAATTCCCCAGTTCCCCAGGCCTTCCAATTAAAACTCTGATGAAGATAAGTATTTTTCGTCTTGTCAGCATCAAAAAAGGGGTTCCTAAGCTGACCAGAAGATTTGTGCCATTGCCTTTGAACATACCCTGATAGAAATCAACAAAGTCACCAGTACCTGAAATGTATTAGGTGTAGAGCTGGATGAACACAGCAGGCCAAGCAGCATTAGAGGAGCAGGAAGGCTGACGTTTTGGGCCTAGAGCCTTCTTCAGAAATGGGGGAAGGGAAGGGGGTTCTGAAATAAATAGACCCCGTTCCCCTCCCCTATTTCTGAAGAAGGGTCTAGGCCCGAACCTATTTATTTCAGAACCCCCTTCCCCTCCCTCATTTCTGAAGAAGGGTCTAGGCCCGAAATGTCAGCCTTCCTGCTCCTCTGATGCTGCTTGGCCTGCTATGTTCATCCAGCTCTACACCTTGTTATCTCAGATTCTCCAGCATCTGCAGTTCCTACTATCCCTGAAATGTATTGTTGGTTCACTGGGTTCAAGTCCCACCTGCTTCAGAGATGTGTCCTAACATCTTTCAACAGGTCAATTAAAAAAAATATTGATCCAAGCAGTCTTGATTATGCTAATCTTGTTTGGAGGCTGCTGTATGGTTTTAAAATGTTAGGTAGGGGCTTTGCATTTGTGTTGCATCTTAGACCATGATGTGATTTCAATAGAAATTCTCGGTGTCTCAGGTTGTGATACTGTTCCAATTTGCCATCTGTTTCATTTCTCTATCTTGCCATTTTTGTCCATATTGAACATTTTGACTGACGTTCAGGTTGGGTAATTCAACTTGCATGCATTTTGTGAACATCTTGCCCTCTAAGAACATTGCCAAATGAGGATTAGGAAGAGTTTTCTACACTTGGCAGCTGAATAGCAATTCTGAATTTGTTGCACAGTACGATAAAGTACGCAAAATCAGAAGAGGTATATCCAACTATGCTACATAGACTTTCAACTGATGACCTATATTGCTGAATTGGGTGATCTTCTCCATTGCAAGCATGGGGTTTCTACTCGTATTCACAGTGATCCTCACACTTGTCTAGACAATACTGTGATTGATGACCAAGGACAGGTTCCTTCAAAGCTATAGGCCTGAACTTGTTGAATATGTGTTGAGCCTGACAGTGGTTGGTTTAGTTATCTCTTGTCACTTTATCTGGATAAAAACATGCTAAGTGAAAGGATGCTTACATCTGTACTAGTATCCAATTTGGCAGACAATCTTTGCTTTCCTTACATCTGTGGGCTATAAACTGGATGGGTTCAAAAATTTCTGTTGCTCCCACTGTGCTGGTACATTCTTTCATGGTCACCATGCTGAATTATGGTTATGCTCATCTGGTTATGCTCATCATCCGAATGTGTAGTTTGGCTACATAATTCATTGATGCTATTTTGACAATGTCTGTTGCACATCCTTGGCTGACTGGGTTGCCCTCTGGCTGTGGCTGAATGTGATATGAGCCACTTGTTTTGGCCTTTACTTTCTGTCTTGATGCTTCCAATGCCTTTTGGTGCCCAATGCGTTGCATACATCTTTAAAAAGTGAGCAATCTCTGGGTGCACGTATGAGGCCACATTACCGACACTGCTCACTAGATTTGCCTATATTGACTACATTGTAACATTTGGGTTGGTCAAAGAGATCTTTCTGGAACACTTCTGCTGGGATGGATGCAATCAAGAACTCTGTTATTCTATTGCCTAGCTCTGATGCCATAAAATGACAATTAGGCCCCTAATCGTTGTACCTTTTATGAATTGTCCAATAGTTTCCATCAGTTGTTGCCTAAATGACAAGAATTCCAGACAGCATATTCTGAAGTTGAACTTCTCATGAAATTGATTTTCAAGTGACCAAATTTCATCTGGATTTTGAAGGTCATTGTTCAACAGACCTGAAGTCTGTGGAGGTCTTCATTGCCTATGGCAACTTTAATTTTAATGGTTTTTTTTATCTAGCCTATAAATACTAAGGTTCAGGGTTGCTGTTTGAGGGCAATGATATTGCTGTTGAGCCAATTCTGTCTTTCATAGGCTCACTGAAGCTTCAGGCACAGAACAGTTATTTTTGGTGTGAAAATGGATTGCAAACTTCATAGATAGAATTAACCAGAAAAAAGTATACTTTTTGCTGCCTTCTTTAAATTGTTCTGAATGAATTCTTCTTTCCTAGTGTCCAGTGTTTTATTTGCCATTAACCTCCTGAAGGTTGGCAAGCAGTAGTGATTGACTATTGTATCGGTTGCTTTCTGCTTAAAGCTAGACTCCCTGGAATCAGCATCTAATGTCTGTTCCTGCACAAACTTCAAAGCCAAAAGGTTTAGACTGTATAAGCTCTTGTGAATTTTAGCAATCCTATAAGACTGAATTCCAGTTGGCTGGAGTGAGAGTTTGAGTCCCAGAATGCAAGGACAATCAGAATGATTCCTACAGTGTTGCAGAATCAGTTACACACAATGAGTCAGGACCAAACTGTCATTTCAGTTCCACACCAATGCTGCAGCATTTGCTATGCCCTTTTAAAGGTACATGTATATCTCATCACAACCAGTCAAGGCCATGTGGCTAGTCTTGTTGACAGCAGTGAGAGGGGGGATCTGACAGGATCCTTCTTGTTCAGGCACCCTTTGCCCAATGGAGGCTCACCCACAAACATTCTCCCCATCCCACCCCAACTGGCCTGGGGAACCCAGTACTTCTCCCCAGGGCTTGCCAGCCTGGCCTCAGCAAAACCTCTGCCTTACTCCCATATCTGGCTCCATGGCTGCTCAGATTTGGTGATTGCATCCCACAGTAGTCAATGGATCTGGAGGCATTACTGAGACTAGAGAGCTGTCAGCCATTTGATCGACAACTCTTGGAACAAGGACATGCTTCCTGATTGAGGGGAATGGTGGAGGAAGTTCTACCCTTAGCCAATTTAGACCCGATAGCTACTAATTTTGCTCAGAACTATCTGGCCTAGAGAGATGCACTCCGCCCAACTTTTAAGCCAGGGTTGGGCCAATGCCTCTACACAAACTCAAATGCTATAAAAGTGAGCAGACCTTTTTATTTGCAGGCACTTGAATGATACACATGATTTCCACAGGGAAGTAAGGCTTGAAAATTGGAGGGAGGTATACAATGGGTACATCTCAACATTTGCCCAGAATATCCGACCTATAGAATTTTGAGCCCAAGCTGATCACAAGGAAAAGAGGTTGGTGCATTAGGTTTAAATTGTTCAGTTGCTTATTTGAACTACAGGAAACGCTCACAATTACAATGAACCAAGTAAATGCATAATTTGTTAATAATTATTAAATTTAAGCACTTCAAAATACAATTTACTTTTTAAACAATTTTTCCACAGTTAGAAGTTGAACTTTTATGCTATTTGTATAGCTGGGAATTTCAAGTAAAACAGATTTAAGGTGACTTATTGTCAGCCTTCAGTTTCCACTGAACAGACAACAGCAATACCTTCAAAGTGGATGGGGAGGCGATGGCTGAGTGGTATTATCACCGGACTGTTAATGCAGAGACCTCTGGGTCCTGGAGATTCTGGGGACAGAGGTTCAAAATCTTTCATGGCAGACGGTGGAATTTGAATTCAATAATAAAAAAAATCTGTTAAAAGTCATTAGCAGTCTCTTTGCAAAAACAGCAAACTCACTGAACAAGGCCATCTTCAAATTCCCCTCCAAGTCATTGACTGTGCTGACTTTGAACTATATTGCTATTCATCTATTGTTGCTAAGTAAAAATCTGGACCTCCAAGCTACTTACCATCCTGACTTGGAAATATATCACCATTCCTTCACTGTCGCTAGGTCAAAGTCCTGGAACTCCCTCTCTAAGAGCATTGTCAGTCTACCTACAACACATAGATTCAAGAAGGCAGCTCAGCACCACCTTCTCAAGGGAAACTAGGGATGAGCAATAAACGCTGGCTGGCCACCCAGTCAGTTGTCCCACAAGTGAATTAAAAAAAAATGAAAAAGGGGAACCGGTAGATGTAGTAGTATATTTGGATTTTCAGAAGACATTCAATAAGGTGCCACATAAAGAGCAGTGTAGGTGGACATCCACCCGACAGCTCAAGAAAGTGCTCACTACTACTTTCTCAAGGGCAGTTATGGATTGGTAAGAAGTGCTAGGCTTGTCAGTGATGCTGATATTACATGAAAAAATAATTATAAAATAAGAACATTGCAGGAGCACTATATCTTCGTGGCATTATGCAGTTGCCTATGAAAAACAGCATTTTTAACAAAGGTATTAATGTTAAATGTTAGAAAGTCTACAGTAAGTAGAAAATATAATATGCTTCATATTATAAATGCTTCATTTATCAAATATATAAATTTAGTAACATTACCTTCAATAATGTATCTAGCACCGGAGGAGGGCAAGTCATGAAAAGTGTCACAAAACTATCAGCAATTCTGCTAAACAGGTTATCTTGATCTTCTTGGGAAGGCTTGTAATGATCAAGAATAAAATAAATTTGTTAAAATCACAATTTTATTCTTGACTTCATTTCTATATACTGAAAAGAACTGAACAATAGATTAAAAGGCAACAGGCGATGACAAAATAATACTGTAATGAGAAAAATCAAAATTATTCCAAATATATAAAAAGACAAAAAGTATATGAAATATAGAAAGCAAGTCTTTAGGAAAACTTACAAACAAATGAATAAGCAAAAAGAATGTACAGTTTAAAAAGTCAAAAATTTGCAGGTTTACATATATATCGTACAACAAGTCAAGCAAAACACTGAATATAACATTTCTGAAAAGCAGCTCTTTGACCGCTTACTCATTTCCAGTCACTGCTAACCCTACATCCTGGGTACCTTCACATGTAAAATGCTTATCTTCAGGTTTAAACCTCTATGAATCCTCACAGAAGCTCTGTGCTCCTCTTACTCTATTCCGTATTGTAATCCACACACCCACTTCCTTTGCCTCATCATTGGTAACTGTTATTTCAAACATCTATCCCCTACAGGTTTAACTCTTTCCTTAAACCACTCCTTCGGATATTGGCCAGAAAGCTAGTAGCAATTCAGTGTCATCCTGTTCCTAGGGTGCTGAATGTACTAAGTCCCAAACAAGCACTTGCCTATCCGCAGTCCTAATTCTAGGGCCTTTGAATGCAAAGATACCCTTCCAAGAGCTGCCAGCCAATATACAGCAGCACTACCATGCTAGCAAAGCCCCTGGGTACATTGGCCACTGTTGGGACTGCAATAGGCACGGGATCAGGAGCGGAGATGGAGGGTCAGAGGAGAGATAAATGAAGGAGCTTCTCTTGGGTCAAACAGGCATGACTTGGTGAGGGTTGATACAGTGTGGAGCTAGAGGAACACAGCAGGTCAGGCAACATCAGAGGATCAGGAAGGTCAACGTTTCAGGTCAGGACCGTTCATAAGGATAGTAATTCTTGCTATCTCCATGACTTGGTGAGGGTTAAGGTCATTGTGGAAGGCTAATAGGGAGGGAACATTCAACACTGTAATCAACCAGGAAGTGCATACTCATGGAGCCCACATAGCCAGTCGCAGTGAGACAGCAGGATCAGCCTTTTATTGGCCACCAATTTGCTTCAATTGGTCTAGAGTTGGAGACGAAGACTTTGGCCTCCTCATCATTGACTTATTCATGGGGCTATCAGGAAGGCAATGGCTTCTCCTCCCTATACCTTCTTGTCCAATTAAATGGCCCTCATCCATCTCCCTGCCTGCTGAATAGGCGAGGTAGGGAAATGGACATTAAATTTTGCCTTTCTTTCTATCCTCCTTCAAGATTCTCCTTGAAAGCCTTCACTCTTTATTAAGGCAATATGTGGGTCATATAAAAGCAAATAGAAACACGTGCTGGAGAAACTCAGCAGGTCTGGCAGCATCTGTGGAGTGAGAAAAATAATTAATATTTTGAGTCCAATTTGACTCTTCTTTACAACTGGTGTGTAATGCTTCCCTAATGGATGTAACGTCAGGAGTCATACTCTCCAAATTCTTAATAGCAACTGATGTGGAAATCCAAAATTACTGAAAGTGAAAATGTTCCACTACTTCTGGTACCAGTTCTGAAGAGCCATATCAGATTTGAAACATATTTTGGGAATTCCTTACAATATTTCCTTCTCAAGAATGGCACCTATCCTTGTTTAATTGTGCCATTGTGGAATGCCTTTTCATTGGTAAATGCACTCACTAAATATAGTTAATTATTGGCAATTATGGTTCAGTATGTTTAATAAGTAAATAGCTGACTCACAGAGCAGCAGGTTTTAAATTCAACCCGAATCTATACTAGCTCACAATGGTGAGTGGAGAAATAGGGTAACATTTTTACCTTCAGTCTTTTTGGCTTTCACATCAGCAGCTGCTATTAAGATATTTTGGGAGCATGACTGGTGATGTTCAATCCATTATGGAAGCATCACACACCAATTTCATTCTGGCAGCACTTTTTCGTAGAAATGCTAAAGTCAAAAATTTACCCAAACCTTTCACAGACTATTAGAATGAAACACCCAAACATTCTTCTTTTTACATGACATAACTGTACCTGAAACTTGGAAAGGAAGAACCACCAAAATGCGTCCTGAAGAATGGCACCAGATGAAGTTGAGAGAATCAGCTTTTTCAAGGTAGATTGATATCCAAGCTGTTAAGAAGTTTGGTTGATTTTATATTTGTTACATTGTCATAAGTTCTACTAAAATAAAAGTGAATGATAGGAGACAGTGTTGCACCAACCAGCAGCCCATGTGGCACAGTTTCATAAAATACTGCAGACACTGGAAATCTGACCTGCAAGAGAAAATGTTGGAAATACTCAGCGGGTCTGGAAGTATCCATAGAGACAGAGTAAAAGAGTTAATGTTTCAAGTCAAATGTCTTTTTCATAACACATTAATTTGAAAAATTTTGGAATTTTCATCTTTGGCATCTTTCTAGAGGGTAGGGTCCATGTGGCATGAGGCCATTCTTCTAAGAGAACTGGAGAATTCAAAAACTAAATCAGTTTCTGGCATTGAATAAACAACAAAATATGCTGAAAATCTGAAACAAAAACAGAAAATGCTCAACCTTCAGCATAGCAAGCAACATCTAGGACACTGGGGATATCTCTGCATTTTACATGTTTCCCTTTCACCCTTCTAACTCATTCCTTTATCTATTCACACATTCTATGTCCCACATGCTTACCATACTTCTCTCATTGCATCTCCTACTGTCACATTTATATTTTCTTTCTCTCATTTAACTATTTCCTATTTTACAGTTGAATACATTATAGGTAATTCATTTAATTTACTTTTTATCTGGGTATGTTTACATTCTTTTTCTTCCCCTTCACATTAGTCTGTTCAATTTTAGAACTCTGCTCATGTGTAATATCTTTCAGTTCTGATGAGGAGAGAGCAAGCCTGAAACATTAACCCATTTATTCTGTCTACAGATGGTCTCTGGTCTGCTAAGTAGTCCAGACATTTTTTTTTGCTTTTCTTCATCCTTTGGCATTCTTGTACATTTCCTAGTACATATGCAGTTGTAGAATAGCATTGCGAAGACCAAGGAAACAATCACCAACTATCATGAATTAGTCTGTGCCCCAACTCTATCAGCATACAGTTCAATTTCCAAAATATTATCTACCACAAAATAAATGGTAATCATGCTATTTTATGAAAATTAATTAAAACTAAAATTACAAGTCATATTTTGTAATGCATAAGGTGAAAGAGATGGACAGAACTGAATAGATACAGATACAACATATGTAACATATATATGACATCTGTACGCATATTGAACTTGAGACAGAAAAGTTAAATATATTCAAATTATTTATAAAAACATAATCAACAAGTCATATTTACTTTCCAATATTTAATCTAAAACACACGTGGATCTGCTGTAATCGTTAAAAGAAATGCTTTTCCTTTGCCATATCCTCAAAGCATCCAAGTCTCAAATCTATAACTTTACCATGACAACAAAACCAGAAGGCATCATAATTGTTAGTATGCTAAAATGTTTCAAACTTCACAAGAAAAGGACCATAAAATATTCCAAAATACAAGGATAAGCAAGTAAAATTGTTAGTAAACAAAGGTTAAATCAAGCTTTAATAATAATGACTTACATTAAAATTCTGAGCCCTCCAAATCCAGCTGAGCAGCTGTACAGCCTCTGTGTGTCCAGGAAGCTCTGTAAACTCAAATGGTTTGAAGCCTGGGAAACGTTCAGACTAGATTAAGAAAACAGAAAAATTAAATCTGACAGAAATATTTTGACTCTATTTTTATAAAGTAAGGGAGTGGTTCTGTGGTAATCTATTCCCCAACACTGCGTCCTTCCACCAACCCCACAACTGAATAATGGATGTGGAGATGTTTTCTACACTTAATATGTAAAAGATAGTAGAAATATGGTAAGACATAAAATCGAGATCATCAAGCCTGCTCCATTGTTCATACTTTAGCTATTACAGTCAGCATTTTGAGCTACACGAACAGAAAAGTATCACTTTGACAATATAACAAGCTGATCTTTCTCCAGCTAATATTTCTTTCAATGTGAAATTGTCATCTTTACCTTTCCCAGTTATTGACCTGATAGTTCAAATGGGGCAAGGTTCAGCAATATCCAAGTTCAAGTTCCAATGAACACCATTAAATTCTACTTACCATAATGTTGACTTCAGATCTCACAAAATATGAGGTCAGTTAAGCATGAAATACAGAGCTTAAAGCATGATATGTAAAGAAATTGAAGGTTTATGATTATATCTCCTGTAAAAGCAATCAAATATGCTGTAGAACTCTACCATTCCAATCCTGATGAAGCAAAGGAAATATTATTTGAAAATGCAATTATTTGAAATGTACTGCTGTAAATTTCAATGTTGATTAATATTTTGGAAATGTGCCCCATTACACTAAAGGAACAGGGAGAAATTTCAGTTTTATTCTTGCAGAATTTAATAGACTGCAGCAACTTAAGTTAGCAGAAAATTCCAAAGAGTCATGGTAAAGATAGACATGGTTGTGGTTGCTAGAGATCAGTCATCTTAGCTCCAAGATGTCAGTGTAGGAGTCAATAAGGATGGTGTATTAGACTCAATCATCTTCAGTTGCTTCATCAATGACCATTACGTTCCCTTCATTGTATAGTCAGAAGCGGGGATGTTCATTGATGTTTCAGATACTGGAGCAACAAGGCTTGAACAATATCCAGGCTTTGGTTTACAAGTGGAAAGTAGCATTCAAACCACACAAGTGCCAGGCAATGACTTTCTCTATCAAGAGAAATTCTAACCATTGCTCTGAACATTCAATAAATCCATCATTGCTCAATTCCCAATTACCAATAACCTGGCCTTGATAACACTAACCATAAATCGAAGTGGACTATCCATATAAGTACTGAAACTACAAGAGCAGGTCAGAGGCTAAGAATACTGCAGTAAATAACTCATCTCCTCACTCACCAAAGCCTGTCCATCATTTATAAAGGCACAAGTTAAGAATGTGATGGACTAGAAAAAACAAAAAATTGTGGATGTTGGAAATCTGAAACAAAAATAGAAATTGTTGGAGAACCTCAGCAGGTCTGGCAGCTTCAGTGGAAAGAAATCAGAGTCAACATTCTGGGTCCAGTGACCCTTCTTCAGAACTTATTGTAGCTAGGAAAGGTGTGATGGAATACTCTCTATTTGCCTGATGTGTTCAACTTCAATAACACTCAAGAAGTTTGACACTATCCAGGTCAAAGCAGTCTACTTAATTGACACTGTATCTACAACTATTCACTCCCTCCACCACCAATGTACAGCAGCAAAAGTGTGTACCGTGTACAAGATACACTATAGAAATTCATTAAGATTCCTTAGACATCACCTACTAAACCCATGACTACAACCATCCAGAAAGACAAAAACAGCAAATACATGGGAACACCATCACCTGCAAGTTACTCCTAAACCACTCACTATCCTGGCTTAGAAATATATCACTGTTCCTTCCCTGTTGCTAGTCAAAATTCTGGAATTCCCTTCCTAACAGCATTGAGAGCATATTTACACCAAATGAATGGCAGCAGGCCTCTAACCACCACCTTCTGAAGGGCAATTAGGAATGAGCAATTATTGCTGGACCAGCCAGTGACCACCACATCCCTGAATGAATAAAAAGAACTTTGCCGACTTTAAAAAAAAAAGTTACTTGTGCCTAGGCAGATTTAAGCATAAATTTGGTGGCCTGGCTCAGGATTATAATGCTTGCCACCTTCCCTAGGTGCTATATATCCATTACTTATCTCATTTCCTCTTCCTTCATTTTCACACCATAAAGGGGGAGGTGTGAGAAAGTGGAAGAGGAATGCAGCGATGAGGAAAAGGTGAGAGCAAGTCATGTTGCTAAATGATAATGAAAACAGTTACAAGGACACGAATTATCATTATCATCTAATAGTCCATTATGGTATGTCTAGGAACCTTGCCCCTCTCCTTCAATATAATACCTTCGTCTTCCACTTGATCTGTCCAAAATACCAACTTCGGGGACATTTACCCAAGGTTGTGTAAATAATGAGAATGAAGATACTAAACCTCGTGACTCATATCTTAACATTGAGGTTATGAATTTAATAAACTCCACACATCAACAGTAGGAATATACAGCCAAATGGCAGTTACGAATGGTGCACTGATCCTTCGGCAATCCAACAACAGTTCAGAATGGAGTAACCCTTTCACACTGCCACCAGGAATTATATCAAAATGGATGAATTCTCTGTATATGAAATTAGTAATTGTCACTAGATCAAAATCTTGGAACTCCCTTTCTAATAGCACTGTTGGTGCATCCAGCCAACAGAGACTGCAGCAGTTCAGGAAAGCACTCGCCACCACTTCTCCCTTATACTGTCTCCCTCTCGCCTTGAACCTGTGCCTTCCTGCAGTTGACTTTTCCACCCGGGGAAAAGCATCTGATTATCTACCCAATCTACGCATCTCATAATTTTGTAGACGTCTATCAGGTTGCCCATCAGCTTCCATCTTTTCAGTGAAAACAATCCAAGTTTATCCAACCTCTCCTCCTAACTAAAACTTTCCCGACTAGGCAATATCCTGGTAAACTTTCTCTGCACCTTCTCCAAAGTATCCACATCCTTTTCGTAGAGAGGTGACCAAAACTGCATGCAATATTGCAAATGTGGCCAACTAAATTTCAGTACAGCTGTAACATAACTTGCCAACTTTTATATTCGATATAAAGCACTCTGGGCTTCCTCTGTACCCAACACATCCTGAAGAGCTCTGAGGCTGCAAATCTCTCCCTGAGCTGAGGGCTCCATGCTGTCGGCACCAGGCCCTGCCTGTTCGCCAGATACCCTCTTGAAGCTTGCATGTCCCCTATTACCTCACCTACTCCGACAGCCCATTTTAAGCCATACTCCCAATGTCACTGAGCTTCAACTACAACTGTCCTAAGCTACCACACATCTTTTTTTACTTTTTATCTATTGTTCCTGAACACTGAATACATTGAATATTGAGCAGTCATGGTCACCATACAACCAAATCTTTGTAATAGTTATCAAGTCATGTATTTCTATTTGTATTTTCAACTATCTTATCATAAGTGCTGTGTGTATTCAGATAAACAACCTTAAGCTTTGAGTTTTTACCATAATTACTTATTTTGGTTCTAATTTCTGCTGCACTCTTCTGTATTTATTTCTACTCCTTCCTGTCACACTTTGATTATCTTTCACGCTTCACTGCCCTGCACCTCTGCCTTTCCATGTCTTTTTGTTTCTTTAAACTTCCCTTCAGTTAAAGCCAGGTCCCCCCCACCATTCTTTAAACCATGCAATTACCTATCTAATCTATTTAGCCTGTGCTAATTTGCACATGATCCAAAGGTGGTCTTTGTGGTCTGCTTTCGCATTTAGCTCAAAGATGATTATAATCTCTCAGTAGAACCTCTTTCCTAATCCAACCTATGTCATTGATACCTATGTAGATCATGACAACTGGATCCTTCTTCTCAGCCCAATGGAGATGTCCTGAATCCTTGGCACCTGGTAGGCAACAGCCTTTGGGACTCTTTCTTTACTGCAGAAAGCTGTGTCTATTCCCGTAACTATGCTATCCTCTATTATCAACATATTTTTCTGTTCTCACTCCACTTGAATGGTACTTTGGACCATGGTGACATCTACAGTTCATTTGTTCTGCCAACAATCTGTGTCCTCGTCCACACCAGGAGCAAAAACCTCATACACACACCTAGACCAGTGGGAGGAAACAGGATAAAAAGACATTGAGGGCACATCAGTGGCATGGGTGTTCAATTATTGTATGTAATCTGTACTTTTGTGAATATATATTCACGCTCAATGTTCTAACATCCGTTGTAGTCTCATTCAACCAATAGGAAATAAGAAGGATCACCAAAGTGAAAGATGTGGAGCAAAAGGATGTGCTGAATTTCAATTACCATTCCTTGGTACCTCTGACATTGCCAACAATGTAGGTGAGTGTGATCATATCATCCGTCAGGAAACTACATTCTTATAAACTGGGATTTGAAGTCAAGTGGCTACACATTACAACTAGGGGCACTGAGAGTAATGATAAGGTCTCAGGGAGGAACCAGGGCCTGGGCTGTCCAATTGGTGGTATCCACATTCCTTTTGAGAGTGCTGGCAGCATCTGTCACGTACGTACAGGCTCCAGGAGAGAAAGACCTGTCCCATGTCTAAGCTTCTCAAAGCCATTTTAAAACATTTCAGACAGGAATCATTCAGAAAGCCTTACCTGAACAGTCACGTCACTGTTTGCAAAGGAAAGTTCTTCAGAAAGCTGTGAAAAAGAAAACAATTTTAATAGTTGCATTTCCTTCAATGTTTTATATCTCATAATTTCCATTAATGCTCGAATTTAAAAAAAACTTCATGATAAATTCAACAAATTTAAACAAAACTATACAGTTAAAATACACTGGATCAATAATATGCTTAATTTAAGAATAGGAGAAATCACTTTTTTTGAGCTTTTTCATCAATGAAATCATGGAAGTGTGTGACAAACACAAAATACTGAAGAAACTCAGCAGGTCATTTATTAAATAAATATCACTGTCACTGAACAGCTTTGTGTACTAAGAAATAAAGCCTTGAAATACTCATTGTGTATACTTTAAATACATTGTGTATCAAAGCATCAAATGACCAACATAACACAAGATCATTGGAATCTGAAATGCCATGAAATACTTTCCATGGCTAATTAAAATGTGGCATTAATACGTAAATTAATTGATTTTGCTCCAAATGGTTGGTTGGTTAGTTTACTGCTACCAAACATTTCACATAAATCTATGGAGTGATATAAACATTACTCCGAAGGAAGTCAAATGTTTGGATATCAGATTTTTTTGTGATATTAATTGGACAGTAATACCACAATCACCTAGAATTTCCTAAGAGATTAATCTGCCTGGATGCTCTGGCTTTGGAGGATGTATGGCAGAAACACTTTCTAATGCACAGTCAAGAGTTTCCACCAAAGTTTGAGTATCTGACTGGAAAAGCCATGAGGGAATTCACTCAAACTCTCCAAATATCAGCCCCTAGCTTTTGTTCCTAAAGTTATATAATAATGTTAAATTTTACAGATTTTACTAGCAAGTAATTTCACTACTGTTGCATAAAATGTCACTGGAATTGTTTTTACCTTTCGGCTGGGATGTGTTAGTAATGCATCAGAATTCTTAATTTGTGTAAGAAAAGCTGGAACAGAAAAAATGTGATTTTATGCTCAAATAAATAAACCTTCATAAACTATAAAACATCTTGACAAGTTCTAGAAAGAGACATCTTGCAATTATATGGTGCCTTATGATATTTACAGCACATTTCAGAGCGCTTCAAATACAATTATTTATTTTTTGAAATGCAGTGCCTCTTTTACACAGGAAATGCAGCAGCTTATTTGGACACAGGAATGTTCTATACAGATTCTGTAAACATTCTATAAAGAATTCTATAAGATGACAAACAGACCTATTTACTTGAATACAGTGGTGCAGTTTGAAGGACAAATGTTGTCCAGGATATCAGATGACATTTCTGCACATTTTCTGAATATCTTTTTAAGCCAGAGGTGGATAAATTCTTGATAAGTAAGGGGCATATAAGGTCATCAAAGGAAGGCAGGAATGTGAATTGGAAATTACAATCAAATCAGCCATGATCTAACAATATGGTGGTGCAGACTTTAGTGGATAAATGGCCTACTCCTGCTCCTTGTACGTATGTATTATGAAATAAACTGTATAATCGTTTATATTTATCCGAACAGGAAAAGAGGACATCAATATAATGTCTTAACTAATGACAGTTCATCTAATAAATTAGAATTTCTTCAGTATCATACTGAAGTTGTGGTCCAAATTGTGGGTCAAATTTCAGGATAGGGCTTGTAGCTACAACAATTGAGGCAAGAATGCTGACAAAATCATTCAAATTGACATTTAAGGATAGTTTCATCAGTTACATTCTACTGATAAGGATTCATTTCCTTGGGATGAGCATGCATCAAATGTGGATGCTGCAAAAATGTATTCTTGCTTTTTCAATCACTATTTCAACAAATCTATTTGTTGTGAGAAAACATATATTTCCATTGTCCACATGTTTTGCTGTTGAGAACATCTGTGTCTTTCATTTTCAATTGAAATGTTTTCCACTTTAAGTTTACTCTTCACAAAATATAACCATGGTCTGCAACATGTTTCTTTAGAGCTCTGAACCTAACACACATTCACTGAACAATTCATTCCTATTGCACTTCACACTTTTACTACAAAATCATTCTGTAAAATGTATTAGTTTAATTTTTTTATTCATTTGTGGGATGTGGGCATCGCTGGCTGGCCAGCATTTACTGCCCATCCCTAGTTGCCCTTGACAAGGTGGTGGTGAGCTGCCTTCTTGAACCGCTGCAATCCTCCAGCTGTGGGTTGACCCATAATGCTATTAGGGAGGGAATTCCAGGATTTTGACCCAGCGACAGTGAAGGAATGATGATATATTTCCAAGTCAGGATGGTGAGTGACTTGGAGGGGAACTTGAAGGTGGTGGTGTTCCCATATATCTGCTGCCCTTGTCCTTCTAGATGGAAGTGGTCGTGGGTTTGGAAGGTGCTGTCTGAGGATCTTTGGTGAATTTCAGCTGTGCATCTTGTAGACAGTACACACTGCTGCTACTGAGCATTGGTGGTGGAGGGAGTGAATGCTTGTGCATGTAGTGCCAATCAAGCGGGTTGCTTTGTCCTGGATGGTGTCTTGAGTGTTTTTGGGGCTGCACTCATCCAAGCAAGTGAAGATATTCCATCACACTCCTGACTTGTGCCTCGTAGATGGTGGACAGGCTTTGAGGAGTCAGGAGGTGAGTTACTCGCCACAGCATTCCCAGCTTCTGGCCTGCTCTTGTAGCTACTCTGTTAATGTGGTGAATCCAGTTGAGTTTCTGGTCAATGATAACCCCCAGCACATTGATAGTGGGAGATTCAGTGATGGTAACACCACTGAATGTCAAGGGGCAGTGGTTAGATTGTCTCTTATTGGTGATGGTCATTGCCTGGCATTTGTGTGGCACAAATGTCAATTGCCACGTCAGCCCAAGCCTGAATATTGTCCAGATCTTGTTGCATGTGAACATGGACTGCTTCAGTATCCGAGGAGTCATGAATGGTGCTGAACATTGTGCAGTCATTGGTGAACATCCCCACTTCTGACCTTATGATGGATGGAAGGTCATTATGAAGCAGCTGAAGATGGTTGGGCCTACGACACTACCCTGAGGAACTCCTGAAGGGACGTCCTGGAGCTGAGATGATTGAACTCCCACAACCACGACCATCTTCCTATGTGTCAGGTATGACTCCAACCACCGGAGAGTTTGCCCCCGATACTCATTGATTCCAGTTTTGCTAGAGCTCCGTGATGCCACACTCGGTCGAATACAGCCTTGATATCAAGGGCTGTCACCCTCACCTCCCCTCCGGAATTCAGCTCTTTTGTCCACGTTTGAACCCAGGCTGTAATGAGATCATGAGCTGAGCGGCCCTGATGGAACCCAAACTGGGTGTCACTGAGCAGGTTATTTCTGAGCAGGTGCTGCTTGATTGCACCGTTGACGACACTTTCCATCACTTTACTGATGATCGAGAATAGACCGATGGAGCGGTAATTGGTCGGGTTGGATTTGTCCTGCTTTTTGTGCACAGGACATTTTTGGACAATTTTCCACATTGTCTGGTAGATACCAGTGTTGTAACAGTACTGGAACAGCTTAGCTAGGGGAAGGGCAAGTTCTGGAGCACAAGTCTTCAGTACTATTACCAGAATGTTGTCAGAGCCCGTAGCCTTCGCAGGATCCAGTGTCTCCAACCGTTTCTTAATATCACGTGGAGTGAATCGAATTGGCTGAAGACTGGTATCTGTAACGCTGGGGACCACTGGAGGAGGCAGAGATGGATCATCCACTCGGCACTTCTGGCTCAAGATTGCTGCGAATGCTTCAACCTTATCTTTTGTGCTAGACTCTTCCATCATTGAGGATGGGGATATCTGTGGAGCCTCCTCCTCTAGTGAGTTGTTTAATTGTCCACCACCATTCACAACTGCATGTGGCAGGACTGCAGAGCTTAGATCTGATCCGTTGGCTGTGGGGTTGCTTAGTTCTGTCTACCACTTGCTGCTTTCGCTGTTTGGCATGCAAGTAGTCCTGTTTGGTGACTTCATCAGGTTGATACCTCATCTTCAGGAATGCCTGGTGCTGCTCCTGGCATGCCCTCCTGCACTTTTCATTGAACCAGGATTGATCCCCTGGCTTGATGGTAATGGTCGAGTGGGGGATATGCCAGGCCATGAGGTTACAGATTGTGCTGGAGGACAATTCTGCTGCTGTTGATGGCCACAGTACCTCATGAATGCCCAATCTTGAGTTGCTAGATCTGTGCAAAGTCTTTCCCATTTAGCACAGTGATAGTGCCACACAATGGAGGTTGTTCACAATGTGAAGGCGGGACTTCATCTCCACAAGGATTGTACAATGGTCACTCTTACCGATACTGTCATGTACAGATGCAACTGCAGCTGACAGATTATCAAGGGTGATGTCAGGTATGTTTTTCCCTCACGACCTGCCAGAGACCCAGTCTAGCAGCTATGTCCTTTAGGACCCAACCAACTCAATCAGTAGTACCTGCTGCTTCGTGGGTCATTCTTGGTGGTCGACATTGAAATCCCTCACCCAGTGTACATTTTGTGCCCTTGCCATCCTCAATGCTTCCTCTAAGTGTTGTTCAACATTGAGGAGTACTGATTCATCAGCTGAGGGAGGATGGTATGTGGTAATCAGCAGGTTTCCTTGCCCATGTTTAACCTGAAGCCATGAGACTTCATGGGGTCCAGAGTCAATGTTGAGGACCCCTAAAGCAACACCCTCCCGACTGTTTACCACTGTGCTGTCTTTGTAGCGATTGGTATATCTGAGTGGCTTGCTAGGCTTTTTCAGAGGGCAGTTGAGAGTCAACCACATTGCTGTGGGTCTGGAGTCACATGTAGGCCAGAGCAGGTGATGATGGCAGATTTCCTCCTGAAGGGCATTAGTGAACTAGATGGGTTTTTCCAACAATCAGCACTGATTTCATGGTGATCAATTGATTCTTAATTCCAGTTTTTTTGAATTCCAATTCCAACATCTGCCCTGGTGGGATTTGAACCCAGGTCCCCAGAACATCAGCTGGTTTTCTGGATTAATAGTCTAGCAATAATACCACTAGGCCATTGCCTACTCTTATGTTATATAACCTACACTGAGTTCAGTGGCACAGTTGGTAACATCACTCCCCCAAGCCAACATTCAGTTCACATTCCATTGCGTCTTAAGTACTCTTGCCACAGTTGTGGTAGGTCAAACCAACCAGGATATGCAGAGTATTAAGCCAGAAACTCAGCTAATGTTCTGGGGACCCAGTTCAAATCCCACCATGGCAGATGGAAGAACTTGAATTCAAGTTTTAAAAAAATCTGGAATTATAAATCTACTGATCACTATAAAATCACTGTCCATTGTCGGAAAAACCCATCTCGTTCACTAAATGTCCTACAGGGAAGAAAATCTGCCATCCTCACCTGGTCTGGCCTACATGGGACTCCAGACCTACAACATTGTGGTTGACTCTCAACTCCCTCTGAAATGGTCTAGCAAACAACTCAGTTGTACCAATCGCTACACAGTCTCAAAAGAAACAAAACTGGACAGATCACCTGGCATTGACCTAGGCACCAGAAAAGACAATGTCAGAAACAGCCCTGTTGACTCGGCAAACTCCTCCTCACTAACATCTGGGATTAGTGCCAAAACTGGGAGAGCTATCTCACAGTCTAGTCAAGCAACAGCCTGACATAGTCATACTCACAGAACACCTTACAGACACCATCCTCACTATTCCTGGATACGTCCTGTCTCACTGGCATGATAGACCCAGCAATGGTGCCGGCACAATGGTATACAGTCAGGAGGGAGTTGCTCTGGGAGTCCTCAACCTTGGCTCTGGATCCCAAGAGGTTTCATGGCTTCAGGAAACCTCCTGGTGATTACCACATACCGTCCTTCCTCAGCTAATGAATCAGTACTCCTCCACATTGAACAACACTTACAGGATGCACTGAGGATGGCAACGGCACAAAATGTACTCTGGGTGGGGGATTTCAATGTCCACCACCACCACCAAGAGTGGCTCGGCAGCAGTACTACAGATGGAGCTGGTCAGGTCCTAAAGGATATAGCTGCTAGACTGGGTCTGGAGCCAACAAGAGGGCCGGTACGGTGGCTCAGAGTTTAGCGCTGCTGCCTCACAGCGCCAGGGACCCAGGTTCGATTCTACCCTCCAGCGACTGTCTATGTGGAGTTTGCACATTCCCCCCATGTCTGCGTGGGTTTACTCTGGTTTCCTCCTAAGTCCAAAGATGTGCAAGTTAGGTGGATTGGCCAAGCTAAATTGCCTATAGTTTTCAGGGAAGTGCAGGATAGGTGGATTAACCATGGGGGATGGGTCTGGGTGGGATGCTCTTCAGGGGCTTGGTCGGTGTGGACCTGTTGGGCTGAATGCACTGTTTCCACACTGTGGGGGTTCTATGGAGAGGAAAAAACATACTTGACCTCATCCTTACCAATTAGCCAGCTACAGATGCTGTTACGAAGTTGTGTAGAGTAGTTGTGAATTGGAAGACAGAAAACTAGACTTTGTTTGCAAAAAATGATAAAGGAGAACAATGCATGATTCCTTTAAGGGATAAAGTGCTTTTCTGAGCTTAGAGATTTACACAGAAAAAAATGTCTATGTAGCTGAAGATGTACAGCTAGTTCTAAGATGGAAACATGTATCAATTGGCTGTGTGATTGGAAACCTTAGGCTTGTTTTGATATTTTGGCAACGAACTGGAATCAGCCAATTAATTTAAACCAAGTACTTAGCGATTGAAAGCCAACTGAATTTAAATCCGGTGGTTTTGACAACCTCGGACCAATGCTATTGTAAGAAAATGGATATGTCATCCAAAGTATATAAGGAGAGGGTTTTCGAAAATCGGTGTGAGAGCAAACTGCCATCTGAGAAACAAGCACCTAGCTTTCACAAGAAATTGCTAGGCTCTCTAAGAAAGCACCATCTTATCCATAAAAGGTACCACGGCACTCCTGGCTAAGAGTTTCCACAGAGAAAACATCTCTGACAGCAGGATCAGCAGAAGAAAGGTGTTTATGACTACAGAGACAGTGGAGAAAGCAGAGCATTCCAGAAGACACATTCTGTGTGGACTTTCAGAGACTACCATGGCACTTCTAGCCAAAAGTCCTCATGGAAGGATTCACAGAGAAAACATTCAGGACAGAAGGATCAGCAGAGAAGGTAAAGAACATTCCGGAAGACTTAATCTGGCTGCACTTCTGAGAATCTAAGTTTTTATTTATTTTTATTATTACTTGGGTTATATAAGTGGGGTTTGTATTTATTGGACTAGCATACCAGAAGAATTTTGTTCGGTTAGGGAATAGCTAGTAGTTAAGGGGGAATTGTTCAATTTGTTAGTAGTTCTGTTAATTTGTTCAACGTTAGGGCTAAATAAATAAATTGTTACTTGTTACTTATAAAGTGAATATCAGGGATTTTCTTTCATTTAACCTCTCCTTTTCTGTAACAATACATCTGTCCATGACAGTATCGGTGAGACTGACCAACGTACAGTCCTTGTGGAGACAAAGTCCCGTCTTCGCATTGAGAATACCCTCCATCGTGTTGTGTGGTACTATAACAATGCTAAATGGGACAGACTTTGAACAGATCTAACACTCAAGACTGGGCATCAGTGAGGCACTGGGGGCCATCAACAGCAGCAGAATTGTACTCCGGCATAATCTGTACCCTCATAGCCCAGCATTTGCCTCACTCAACCATTACCTTCAAGCCAGGGGATCAACCCTGGTTCAATGGAGAATGCAGGAGGGCATGCCAGGAGCAGTACTGATAAACTTGAAGATGAGGTGTCAATCTGATGAAGCCACCAAACAAGTCTACTTGCATGCCAAACAGCATAAACAGCAAGTGATAGAGCTGAGCAATCCCACAACCAACAGATCAGATCTAAGCTCTGTAGTCCTGCCACATCCACTCATGAATGGTGGAGGAAAATTAAACAACTCACTGGAGGAGGAGGCTCAACAAATATCCCCATCCTCAATGATGGAAGAGCCCAGCACATCAGTGCAATAAATAAGGCTGCTGCGAAAGCTTCAATCTCCAGCCAAAAGTGCTGAGTGTATGATCCATCTTGGCCTCCCTCAGTGTTCCCCAGCATTACAGATGCCAGTCTTCAGCAAATTTGATTCACTCCAAATGATATCAAGAAACTGTTGGAGAAAATGGATATTGCAAAGGCTACGGGCCCTGACAACATTCCGGCAAGAGTACTGAAGACGCGTGCTCCAGAACTTGCTGCTCTCCTAGCCAAGCTGTTCCAATACAGTTACAACACAGTTACCCAATAATGTGGAAAATTGTCCCATGTTGTCCTGTACACAAAAAGCAGGACAAATCCAACTCAGCCAATTACCGCTCCATCGGTCTACTCTCGATCATCAATAAAGCGATGGAAGGTTATCAACAGTCCTAGCAAGCAGTATCTGCTCAGCTATAACATGCTCAGTGATGCCTACTTTGAGATCCACAAGAGCCACTCAGCTCCAGACCTCATTACAGATTTGGTCCAAATATCAACAAAAGAGCTGAATTCCAGAGGTGAGGTGAGAGTGACAGTCCTTGACATCAAGGTTGCATTTGACCAAATGTGGTATCAAGGAGCCCTAGCAAAAATGGAATCGGGGGAAAATTTCCAGTGGTTGGAGTCAGACTTGACACATTGGCAGATGGTCGTGGTTGTTGGAGGTCAGTCATCTTAGCTCCAGGACATCTCTGCAGGAGTTCCTTGGCATAGTGTCCTCGTCCCAACCATCTTCAGCTGCTTCATCAATGACCTACCCTCCATCATAAGGTCAGAAGTGGGGATGTTCACCAATGCCTGCACAATGTTCAGCACCATTCATGACTCCTCAGATACTGAAGCAGTCCATGTTCACAAGCAACAAGATCTAGACAATATTCAGGCTTGGGCTGACAAGTGGCAAGTAATATTCGCGCCTCACAAATGCCAGGCTATAACCATCACCAATAACAGGCAATCTAACCACCGCCCTTGGCATTCAACGGTGTTACGATCATTGAATCCCCCACTATCAACATCCTGGGTGGTTATCATCAACTAGAAACTCAACAGACTTGCCACAAACACCGTGGCGAGAAGTGTCGATCAGAAGCTAGGAATACTGCGGTGAGTAATTCACCTCCTGATTCCTCAAAGCCTGTCCACCATCTACAAGGAACAAGTCAGGAGTGTGACAGGATACTCCCCACTTGCCTGGATGACTGACACCATCCAGGATGAAGCAGTCGTCTTGAATGGCACTACATCTACAAGCATCCACTCCCTCCACCACCAATGCTCAGTAGCAGCAGTGTGTACCATCTAGAAGACGCACTGCAGAAATTCACCAAAAATCCTCAGACAGCACCTAAAGCCAGGACCACTTCCATCTAGAAGGACAAGGGTAGTTGATACATAGGAACACTACCACCTTCAAGTTCCCCTCCAAGACACTCACCATCCAGACTTGGAAATATATTGCCATTCCTTCACTGTCGCTGGGTCAACATCCTGGAATTCCCTCCCTAATGGCATTGTGGGTCAACCCACAGCAGGTGGACTGCAGCAGTTCAAGAAGGCAGCTCACCACCATCTTCTCAAGGGTAACTGGAAACAGCAATAAATGCTAGCCAGCCAGTGATGCCCACATCCCACAGCTGAATTTTTTAAAAATCTGAAAATTTGACACCTCATTTGGACCACTGCAACGCTGAACAACCCCTGCCTCATTAAATGAGCCTTCTTCAGTAAAAATGTTAAACTGATATCCCAGGTTGTATTTTATCAAAGATCAGTTCAGTGTCAAGACTTGATGACTCAGGAAGGTGCATTCATCACATGCCCACACAAGTTAAGCATCAACAAATCATTCAAACCTGTGCCAATGGCAGGAGTTAAGAACAGGAAAGATATCTGGTCACCAATATGATGGAAATTGGAGACTCTATCCCCACTAACCATAGCTCCAGGCAACAGCATGCATTTAGAAGCATATGTTGCCACAGAAACTTGGACTCTTTGAAAGACCAACTGGCTCATATGGCTGGACAGCCAGTGAGGAATTGCTTGGTGCTAATAGCATGAGGCTCAATCTTCATTCCAGCTGGAGTGGATTTGTGGCCTGCCTCCTCACCTTTCCCATGCTAAAGATCCTAGTCCTGTGGACTGGACTTGTTTTTATTCAGGGAAGTGGAGAAGATGACCCAAAGTGGCAGAAAGTCTTCCTTCATCTCTTCCATCCTAGAAATAGCCATGCCGGATACAAAGTTTCGTGTAGACATCAGATACAGTTCCTAGCATGACCATGTGATTTGTATATACAGAGAATCAACTGATTCTGCAGAAACTTCTCCTCCACTGTATGGCCAGTGGCTGCAGCTACAGCCCAATGGCATGATAGGTGAGGACACCCCCTGCCAGGCAGAAATGCTATACTGCCTCATCTCCAACCTTGAGGCTGCCGCCTCTCACTGGCTGTGAGTCTGCCACAGATGGGGCAGAATGGCAAATGTAATTTTCCAGTTAGAGTGAGGGGGTCTTAGTAAGGTCTCTCAACTACCTCAATTGTCTACCTGTCACTTGTAGATGGACTGTCTTTCTGCCTCATCCAGCCTTCATGAAATTAGCTCAAAATTGGGGTGGGGCTGGAAAACTGGCATGCGAGCTGGCAGAGTAAAATTCCAAGCACACCTGCCTCTGCTGCCATCCCTATCAGCCCTCAAAACTCCCAGCTGTTAACTCTGTTTATCTCTCCGGAGTTACTGCCTAAAGTGTTGAGCATTTCCAGCATTTTCTATTTTTATTACAAATACAAGCTTCTATCATTGTAAAAGCAATACTGAAAGCCACAAATGTCTTACTGTATGATGATAGATCAATATGATGCTCTTTGATCTTAGATTCCCCAGGTTTATCTGAGAGGATTTTTGAGGAATATTTTTCCAATCGCGGTACAAACTGGTTAATTCTTTGCTCAATATCATCGAGAATCTCCATCTGGAAAGGTGCATGTTCATGAATGTATTGCACAGTTGATTCATATGAACTAAATACACCAGGCTGAATATTCATTTGAAACTCATCTTCATCAGGGAGTAACTCTGGCCAGTTAATCTGTAACAAAGAATAAAAGTCACAAACCAGAACACGCAATCAGACTAAATGTTTTGAATTACAAAACATAATAATTTTTATATATACCATCTTTTAAATTTGGGAATAAATTGTTTTTGGTAGGTTTTAACTAGGAAAATATTTTCCAATTATTAAAATGTAGTGTCTTCCTGCTGCATAGTTCTCAATAGTTATGTGATTTTTTCAGTTCTACAAGTTACTTATACTGCTCTCAATGATAATTGTGATTATGTAGCCTTCAAATGCTCACATTTAGTGATCTTTTCTAGCTTCTCAATGTATACTTTGGTTGACTTAATTGGCCTTTGTTTAAACAGCAGGACTCTTGATAAATACAGGGTGAAGAGCTTGGATTCACCATATTTCCATTTTTACAATAATAGCAGCAAAGTCAGCACCAATTCCAGCCTCTTCCACAGATTCCACCTTCATAAATGTGTAAAGAATGTCAGACACAATAGTGTTCATGCAGTGCCTTTGGCTAGCCTCAGCATCACTGTCCAGCTGTGGGCCCTTCAACTACCATGCCTGGCAACGTTGCTGTTCAATGGCTGGAAATCTACTTAAAATGGTTGCACCTATGAATATTGCAACTGGACACTGCTGCATCAGAACATGCCACTAAAGATACAGAACAGTTGGGTAGCTCATATTTTAGATTTAGATTTTATTGTCATGTGTACTCGAGTACAGGAATACCGGAGTACAGTGAAGAGCTTACAAAGTCACCATTCTCCGGCGCCTTCTTAGTATCCAATACACAGGATTAAAAACGAAGCAGAAATAAAAGAAACAACCAAAAGAAAAGGAAACGTCCAGATCACTCCCAAGACACCACACACCACTGCAGCTGGAACTTGACAATGCCACCACCTCCGCCGTCAGGTACCCAGGTCCAGCCATATCCTGGAACCATACCGCCGCAGCTGAAACCGTGTTGCCATTCTTCGGTGCCATCTTGCCTCCATTGATGTAGTCACCACCACGAGTCCATGTTGGGCCAATCTCGACAATGCAGCCGCTGCTGAAACTGCGGGTCTCAAAGTGGACTCAAACTTGACACTTGGCCCACCACACCGAAGCAGCTGGTGCCTCATTCTGGCTTATATTGCTGCTGCTCTTGCCTCCTCAGACCACTATTTCAGCGAAGGATCCCACTGCTGCCGATCCCCCAGGAAGGGGACTGCTCTCGCCACTGCCGACACACCTGGGAAGTGGACATTCAACTCATTCATCACATTCAAACCTCTTTCAAAGGTTTTGTTAAACCTCTTCCATACTGCTGGTCATACATCATCTAGCTGTCAGATGAGACCTGGTAGACTTGCATACCAAGATTTAAAAACTTTTCCATAAAATCCATAATGTTAGTCATTCTATTACACATACCTCTCTGGAGGTGTTTTTAACATGCTTTTCTCTTCCATATACTCCTGTTTCTGCTTTTATTACCTCTTGACTTGGCTATTCCCAAGCACCCCTGGCCAGCCTCCTGCGTTCTACCTTCTGTAAACCCAAGAATATCAAAACTTCTGCTGCGTAAGTGCAGTTCACACATCACCCCGTGTTAGTTGGCTTACAGTGACTGCTAGCAGTCAATCAACTAAAGCTAGCTAACTGCATGCATACGAGCAGCTGAAGACAGAAAGGTCTGTAAGTTTTTGGCGATAAGAAATCATGTAATTATAGTACTTATAATCTGTAGAGAAATGAAAATACTTCTAGGCCATTTAGAATGGATGGAATTATCAGACTTCAGATAGGTCAAAACACTAATTTTCCCTGTTTAACTTCTATTACTAACAAAACTATGGACAGATTCATTTATATCAAATCACCAAAGTGACCTCAGTATTTCAGCATTCAATGCTGTTAGCGCATGTAATGCAGGATAAAGTCCATACTAACACCAAACTTTGCTGGATTATGTACATGTAAAGCAAGGCAAAGGACAATGTCAATAAAGCTTAAATCAAATCAAATGACAGTGTTTTATGAAATTTTTTCCAATGTGATCCTATTTTGACTCACCACCACATTTTCAAGCACAATTAAGGATAGCAAGAAAGGCTAGCCTGTGGTGTTCACAGCTCATGAATTAGTGTACATATAAACCAAGAAAACATTTAATAAGTTATTAAAGCTCGTCTAATATAAAACAATTAATAAGACATCATGTAAATATGAAAATTTGTGTTTATAAAAATGTTATTTTCTGTGCTCATATAAGTATCAGCTAAACTGTCCATATTCTATGCTGACATAAGACTTAGTGAAACCCTCTCCCCCACAAATACACACGTACTGTCATCATCTCTCTCTCCTAACCACACACATAACCCTCTTCCCAACCAGCCTCCCCATTCACTCACACATGTCCCCCATTTCCTCTTAGCCTCCCACACTCATTCATGCTGTCCGTATTCACCCATCCCATTCAATGATCCTCTTCTCCACCCTCCCCCCACCTGGATTTCTCCACCTTGCCTGGAACGTTGAAGAGCTGGAAGGACAGAAGTGACTGATAATTGCCAAGAGCAGGCAGCTTTGGCCTCTCAAAACAAATCGATCTGTTGGTTATACTGATCGGAGTACGCTGCTTCCGAGCCTTGGGCAGCTTTGTGGGTTTCCGGCCTATCCAGTTGAAAAAAGAATTTTCAGTGAAACTGGCATTTTTGATTTCTTTCAAGCTGATTAGCCAGGAATCAACAAAGCTGCCTGAAGGTCAGAAGGAGCTCGCTCTGAGCAACTCTCAGTTAAACTTATTTTTTTTTTAAAAAGCTTTTTTTAACATTGGAAACAAAAGTCCAAATGTCAGATTTCTGAAATTCCAATATCAAAAATTCACCATTTGGCAGAAATTTCTCATGACTGGTCAGTGAATGTCATAGGATACATGCTTATAACTTAGTCTAAAATCTCTTGGCCCAAGGGCAAGATCACGAATGTCCACTAGTTTTTGATTACAGGAAATGTGCAATTAACTGGCAGTCTTCTGCATTACTTCTACACAATTTGATCTTGATTCCTATGAGGCTTTAGGGAAGCCACCAACCACAGGGAAGTTGCTTCAGGCAAAAACAAAATCAGAAAGGCAAGTAAACCTGGCAAAGCCTCATGTCTTTTCTGCCAACAATTTTAAACAGAGCTGTCAGTGGCCTAGCAGCAGCTCACATATCTATTCTCCCTGTTAGTTGTTTTTAGGACCTAGAAGAGAGGAAGAAAAAATTAAATAGAAAGATACAATTTATCTAATACTAATATTCTGCCACTTAAAATGTCATAAACATATTCACATGATATCTATCCATTTGCCCTGGAGTGCTAGAATGCACAATATATATTTTGTCTTATTTCTTGCAAGAGAATAATGGACAGCTATGCGAGGTCATGGGAAGATGCCAAAAATGGAGTCCAGGCCCCTTTCAAATCCAGATTGAATTTCAATCACCGAGTAAAGTGACAGCTATTCACATTCTCTGTATATTACTTCTCTGCAGTCTCATGTTAACTAAAATTTCCCACACATAAACTTCCAACAGTTACATCATTAAAAAGAATAGTAAATATGAATTTGAGAAAAGGTTACTGTAAATTTTCTGGAAATCTTAGGAGAATTTGGGTGATCATCTGTTTTATGATGCTCGCCTCTAAGGCATGCATGTATTATTTGATTGCTGTAACCCAAGACACAATGAGATAATTTTCATTGACATAATCACATTCTCTCTCTTCAAAACTCTCCAGAAACTTAGTGCCACAATTTAAAGAGTAACTGACATACAAGAACCACAACAGGTAAGATCTGTGCATATATTCGTATTAAAGTGTGCATTCTTGTTTGTTCTTTGAGGCAAAGATGACCACGTTCACCATCCATATATACTAACACTTCAGGCAAAGGGATAGTTGTCATGTGCACATTTGTGTTCTGACATTTAGGAGCACAATATTGCTTTACAATAAGCTTTATCTTTATATTAGAAATTTTCTTTCTTCTCTCAAAGGTCCCTAACACAAATGTCTAGTAGAGAGAGTGGGTAAGTGATCTCCTACTAGGTCACCAACAGCTCTGTTCCAGTAGTTGGCAGAAAAGGCAAGATGGCCATGTTTATCATCTGGTGGGGTTGCTAGGGTTCTGATCGGCAGCCAGAAGGTTCTGCTGCGAATAGGACAAGATACCACAGACAATTTCAGAGTTTCATTGGAGTTGCTGGCTTGGGGCTTCCTCTCTTTGGATTTTCTTTCCACCTTGATTTGTGTTTGCTTTCAAAGAAGGCAGCACCTTTTTTTTTTAAATTGGCTGTGCCAGATGCAGCAATCCTGGGTGAGCTTTCCCAGGAACTGAAATCAAAATTGAAACCTCTAAACAGAGCATTCAGATTCTACTTGTAATGCATTCTTTGCCTGTTTTGTGAATACACCACAGATTCAAGCTCTCCAAAGTAAATTCACTTTTAAAAGTTAGATATCTGGCTACAGGACCAGCCTAATTCATTTGTAATAGTCTCAATATGGTCTAATGCTTGGCAGGTCAGCTTGGATGAGTACATCAATGTATGGTATTCTGTCCTGCTATCTGATCTTCAGAAGCTTCTAAAGGTAGCTCAACTGAAAGTGAAAGAGCTCTTTAAAAGCATTGGAAATATGGCAGAGTCAGGGCATTTGGTTCATGTTTGCGTTTATGATCCACTTGAACTTCATTTCACCTAAATTTATCATCATGACCTTTTATTCCATCTCCATCAAATGCTTGTCCAGCTTCTTCTTAAATCCATTTACAGTATACATTTGAACCACTGCAATGTTGGCAAATTCTGTATTCCCACTACTCTGGGTGAAGAAATTTCTTCTGAATTTTCTATTGGATTTCTTTATGACTATCTTACATTGATGACTTCTAGTTACGATCTTCCAAATAAGTGGAAATACTCCCTCTTTGTTCATCTTATTAACATCGATGTCCCTCTTTGGAGACTTTACTACTTATAATAGTAACAGCAGAAAGCAAGTGTTATGTTGTCTCATAGTCAGTGCGTTTGTATACCTTTAAAAGACATCTTCACAAAATCATCACTGTGTCATAGCATGTGACCCAAAGGAAGAAGGTTGTATAGGAGGTCTCTTGTAATGCAATAGTGGTGTCCCTTCCTCTTGGCTAAAAGGTTTGGTTCAAGTCCCACATGCCCCAGAGGAGTGTCATAACATGTCAAAGCTGGTTGATTAAAAATAACTACATAGATCGTATACTCCATCTTAAGTAGGATCTTTCAAGGCAGGACATCCTATACAAAACATATTGCTCAATGCTGTTACTGTGTTAACCTAGTAATGTTAATCTAGATACCGATGTGCCTGTGAATATTATGTCTGTACATAACAGCTGGGTGTAATAAACATCTGTGGATTCTTCAATTTCACATCATCCATATCCAGTTTCTTATGCTACATGGGATAGCATAAGCATTGCCGAATCAGGTAAAATACCTTGTTGGAGGCAAACCCACATCCGTAAAGCAAAGTTTTTTTTTTATAAAAGTCCAATGATCATTATCAGAACTAGAAGCTTTATCTGTTTCAAATGAACCAAGTTAGATGTGCAAGCTGTTCAACAAAAAAACAAAATATGCAAATCTCATCAAAATCATATATTTAACCTCCAAACTTGGTACCAACGCATTTAGTACTGATTTTTAAATTTGAGATTACAAATTTGAACATGTACAGGGCATCAAAAAGCTGATGAAATAAGTGCTTAATTACTGTAAGGGTGTACTTAATTGGTTTTACTGAGCGCATCAAGATTGAAGCTTTATCCGGCTTTTTTGCAGTACAAAGGCCAAAATCAACCTGGCTTCTTACATTATCAGCAGTGATAAATCGTCAAGGATTCAGAAAAGAATGAGAATAATTTAGAGCCAGCCTGAAGCAATCATATTTGAAAACCCATTTTCATTTTATTTGATCACATCCTGCACACAAAGAATGTAATTCAAGTTCAGCTGAGGTATTTTCTGATTCTGTTATCAACATTCTTTATGAAAATGAAGTAAGCGACATAAGGGTACAGTTTCATGATAAATCTTTTTGAAAAAGGTTTGTAAAAATCTGTAACCATGTCTGTTGGTACCCTTTAATTCTGTAATGCTATATTAATTGCATAACAAAAGGAAGATTACTGTGCATGACAGTAGAACAAAGGCCGTTTTTTAAAAATTCATTCATAGGATGTGGCTTCCCTGGCTGGACCAACATTTATTGCCCATCCCTAATCTGCTTAGAGGGCAGTTAAGAATCAATTACAATGCTGTAGGTCTAGAGTCACATATAAACCAGACCAGGGAAGGACAGCAGTGTTCCTTCTCTAAAGGACATTAGTGAACCAGAACATTTTCCCTGACAATGGGCAACAGTTTCATGGTCATCATTAATAACAAGGGTCTTTCCCTAGGATGGGGGTGTTCAAAACTAGAAGGCGTAATTTTAAGGAGAGAGGAGAAAGATTTAAACGGAACCTGCCGGGCAACATTTTCACACAGAGAGTGGTTTGTACGTGGAATGAACTGCCAGAGGAAGTGGTAGATGCAGGTACAGTTACAACATTTAAAAGATATTGGACAAGTACACGAATGGGAAAGGTGTAGAGGGATATGGGCTAAACGCAGGAAAATGGGGCTAGATAAGTTTGAGAAACTTGGTCAGCATGGCTGAGCTAGACCGAAGGGTCTGTTTCCGTGCTGTATGATTCTATGACTCTTAATTCCAGATTATTAATGAATTCAAACTCCAATCATTTATCATGGCAGTATTCAAATGCGGGTCCCCAGAAGAAAACCTAGGTCTCTGAATTGATAGGTTAATGATAATACCATTAGTCCAACACCACCCCTTTGGTGAATATCTTTGTCATGAATGCAGTTCAGCAAAGATAAATGTGAAGTGGTACTTCTAAAAGAGAACAGAGAATAGAAATATATACTAAACAGCTCAGCGCAGTGGAAGAGGTCTATGGCACAGAATCATTGTGGTTTTGAAGGAATGAATGATGCCTTTCCAAAGAGACGTACTTATAATTTTCTTGGGCATTGGGGCAAGATGGTAGGGAGAGTAGCTCAACAGTCAGATTTTAAATGGGAAGGACATCAAGGGGCACACACTGGAAATTAAATCTGGTGAGGGTCAAGTGGGATGAAAATAAACAGTGAAGCAGAAAGCTATTACTGCGTTTGGCTATTGAAGTCTATTCAATCAACTCTTGAATAAGAAAAACATTAGAGTGTATTGGTAAATATGGGTCTGGAATTGAAAGCTAGAATTTGCAGCTAACAGTGAAACTGATATAATAGGCTAAACCGGACCTTTTCTGGGCTTAAACTCCTCACATTCCACGGTATAACTGAAATAGGATGTACAGTGAGTAAGCAACTGAGTCACTTACCAGATCTTCAAGGTGCAAAAACTCCTCAAGATCTTTGGATAGATTTTCCATTCTTTGTAAATATTTTCAAAGTGATCTGTAAAATATCATTATTTTGAACAGTTAAAACATCTAGTGCTATAACAATAAGCAAATTTTAAAATCTTTCACATTAAATTAATTTAAAAATTGAATTAAAACAGTTTTCAGTGTGGTATGGTATGGTAAAAACAAACTTAAACTTATCCTAAATCTATTATATGAATTACATTCTTGTCATAACACCGTTAAGGCCCATAAGGAATCACTAACTAATCTCCCTGTGGAGCTCCTTGAGTACGAGTTCCCTTGTTAACAAGCAATGGCCTGCCCAGTTGGAATGCATCAGCTGAGCCCATTATAAATCAGCTGAGATATGTATTTTTAAAAACCAGCTGAGAGGGCTGTTGTGATGCGGTGGTAGTGTCTCTACCCGTGAACCAAGATACGCGGGTTCAAGTTCCACCTGCTCCAGAGGTGTGTAATAACATCTCTTAAACAAGTTGATTGGGAAAATAGGATTAATTTTAAAAATTGGGGCTCTTTGTGACAGTGGCGGTGTCCTTGCCCGAGACCAGGGAGGCCCAGGTTCAAGCCTCACCTGCTCCAAAGGCGTGTAATAGTATGTCTGAACAGGTAATATGAAAAAAAAGCAGATCAATAGGCTCTTGTGGCACAGTGGTAGTGTTCCTACTTAAAGCCAGGAGGCCCAGGTTCAAGTCCCACCTGTTCTAGTGGTGTGTGCTAACATCTCTGAGCAGGTTGACAAGGAATATATCTACAAAGCAGATCCAAGGGTTCATGTCGCACTGTGGCAGAGTTCCTACCTCTGAACCAGGAAACCAGGGTTCAAAACCCATCTGCTTCAGTGGTGTATGATAACATCTCTGAGCAGATGGTTAGAAAATAATATAAAGTGGACCCAGTAAAGTACTGTCTCTATTTCAGTATTCAACAACAAATGATGTTCCTTTCTCATCAGGCTTCCTGAGTTATTAAAACCCCTTAACCACAAGTAATATAGATCTCCATTTAGTGTGTAATAAATACTTAATAATTATATATAAAGACAGATCAAGTATACATACATGCTTCCAAATATTACAATCAGTGATTAAAAGTCCCAGACTACTACACTAAAGAACACATTTAATGGACTAGAAAATGCAAAACTTAAGGTAAAACATTAAAGATTTCCCAATAAATTAAAGCACTCCTCCCTGACACCCCTCTCATCCCAGACCAAAACTGTCAAAATCGATTAGAATAAGCGCCAACAGGTTTTATCAATGGCCGTAATCCTTCTGTGATTTACTTGCATCTTTAAGTCACACATTTTTCTTCTAAGTTTTCTTTTGTATTTTTCATTTTCAAAAAAAACTTTTTTAAAATTTCAGTAAACCAGTGTTGATGGACTTTTTTTGCACTTTGCGTTGCTTCCTTTTCCGATATATTGTGGGGTACAACAGGCACTAACTTCAGTCTTGTTGTTTCTGAATACCTGACACCTGAAAAATTAATCCTGTGATATTATATTTATACATATTCATGCGCAGTCAGGACCTCGGTGTTTCTAAAAAGCATATTTGCAAGCAATCTTTCTTTTTTTCCAAAATGACAAGTTTTTGACGTTAAGAAATGTCAGGAGATTATAATAAAAAAAACAATAATGAAACCATTTAAACAAATGCAGCTGCTTATTCTTGGCTACATTTTACCAAAAATAGCTTAATATCAATAAACCAAAAATGAGCAAGTCTCGCTTCAATGAAGTACAGTTCGACTAGAAATCCCACGCAGCTTACATCCTTTCTTCAACACGTTATTGGCAGCAGCAAGTTATAATGTATTGATGTTCTTCAGTGTTTACAATCGAAGACGTTTAGAATTGATGAACTCACAAAGTGAAGAACCATATTAGAGCTTACAGCTGCTCTGTTGCTATGCAGCCCTAACAACGACCACTTCCGGTGAGAAGGGTGCACCACCGGCCCCGTCCGCCTCGGAAATTTCTGAAAATAAAGGTTCCCACCCCAGCGAAAGAAACGGCCTGCGTGGCTGAACGGGAACAGCGTGTGTTCGCTTTTTCTGGAGCTGCTGTACCAAACTGTGCAGCCAAAAGTCTGTTTTTAGAAAAGAAACAAGCAAAATTATCGTAGCTTGATTTGGAATAAAGTGCAATTGGATTCCAGAACCGGATATAAACAAAGCCTGATAGAGAAAGTCGATGCTTGGCGCATGTGCTGTGGCAGCAGATCTTTGTTTTTGTTTTAATTTGGTTCCTTTCACTGCAACGAAGATACTGTCAGCATAGACTACAAAGAATAAAACTCTACGAGACATTGTCATGTAAGAAATTTTTTTTCAAACTACATTGTAATCTAGGTTAGATTTCACTGCAATTCCTGTGGTCTGAAATTATGCAGTTCAAGGTGTTGGGAATGTGTGTAAATGTTTAAAATGGATTGCAATGTATTTTCTAATTTTGAATTATCAATTCTGTCCACTAAATCTTTACATAACAAGGACTGGCGCACACAAACGTTCAGCTTGTTCCTCTTGTGCAGTTAAACAGGCAAAATTCAATCTTCCAGCATTGACTGTTATTTGAACCCTATAGGGTGGTGAGTGAGTGGGAAAATATAGAACAGTTTCACGATGGTAGTGTCCCTGCCTCTGGGCTAGGAGGTCACAGGTTCAAGCCCCACCTGTTCTGGAGGTGTGTAATAACATCTCTGATTAGGAAAATATCGAGAACAGGATATGTACATTAGTGATTATCTGAAACCTGTGGAATGAGGCCAGTGTGAATCTGGCTAGGGGAATGTTACAGCAGTTGAGTCTTCAGGTGTCAAAGGCAGCCGACAGCTAAAGATATGTAACCTTACTTGGATGGAATTAACAACAGTGTAGAGTTGGAGGAACGCAGCAGACCAGGCAATGCCAGAAATAAATTGTGTTTGTGATGAAGAGAAAATGGAAGAAAAGGTTGAACTTTTGAGTGGAGTAGCATACCAAAGTTGTAAACATCTGCTAAGGTGGACATGGAGGAGGATTGAATCAGTGGCATGTGTTTGGGTTAGTGGTGGGGTTAGAAGACAACAGGCCAGATTTTCACAGTTCCAAAGACTCCCCTTATGTTTAAAAATGGTGGGTAAGATCTGAATGCAAAGCCTAATGGTAATGCCTCTGAACTTTAAAGGGAGATGGTTGGATTGTCTCTCGATGGAGATGGTCATTGCCTGGCACTTGCGTGGCTGAATGCCACTTACCAGCTCAAGTCTGAATGTTGTTCAGCTGAACATGAACACTGACTGCTTCACTATCTGAGAAGTCACAAATGGTGCTGAACATCGTGCAGTCATGAGCAAACATACCTACTTCTGATTTTATGATGAGGGCAATTAATAAATTGGTTGATGATGATTGGGCCTAGGACATACCCCAAGGAACCTTTGCAGTATAGTCCTGGGACATAGATGAGTGGCCTCTAACAAACGTGTTGTCATGAGTGATGAAGTGGTAATTGGCCAGGTTGGATTTGTTCAGTCTTTATGTACAGGGCATACTTGGACATGGTTCTATGTTGTTTGTGTTATAACTGTGCTTGAACAGCTTTGCTCGGGCTACAACTAGTTCTAGAGCATAAATCTTCAGTACTATTGCTGAAATGTTGCTAGGGTCATAGCCTTTGCACTATCCCATACCTTGAGCCTTTTCTTGATATCATACGGAGTGAATAGAAATTGTCTGAAGATTGGATTTGTCATGCTGGTAACCTCAGGAGGAAGCAAGGGTTGATCGACACTAAGCATATCTAGCTGAGGACAATTGCTAGCATTTCACCCTTCTCTCTTACATTGCAAAGAGGCTGGGCATGTATGATACAGGCAGGAAACCAGCCATTTGAAGAGCCTCAATCCTCACTGTAGAGACACAAATGCTTTTGAAGGGTGGATAGGATCATTTTAAGTGTCATGATCTTCAGTTTTGTTAATATTCCATTCTTTAAATTCAAATTGAAAAGCTGCAGCTGCCCCAAAAGTACAAAAAAGACTTTCTATCCGACTGCTTCAATTGACAGACCGTCTAGTATAGGCTAGAAAACAATTACCATCTTTTTGTACAGTTTCAATGTATATTCTTGTCCACATTTCCCAAAGGTCTTTTCCAATGATATTATGATTGCTTGGGTGAGTTTTAAAGGTTTCAGTTATCTCAGCAGGAGGTTCTGAGTTCACAGTTTCGTTGACAATTTAAAGAGACTATTAAAGGATAATCGTTCTTTGTCAGATCTGAGTAGAAGTTTTCTTTTTTTTTTAAATAAGGAATGAGCAACTTGAGATTACAAAGATTTAACTGGGTTTCATGAATGGAAGGTTTTTCTTTAGTATAAAATGTGAGTAAGCAAGAGCTCTATTAAAATATTACAAGTTTTTTTATTAGCACATGACTCCTGATATCTGCCTACGATAGCTTTGGAGATGGTGGTTATGGGGTAGCTTGGTAACATGAGTTAGAATGGGGTTAATGAAAGTCAATAAGGTGGAGAGCATGAGGTGATAGAGAGAGCACATGGAGGTGTCGTGGTGGTGGATGACTTATGTTGGCATGGAGTGGCCATGGGGAGGTGGGAGCACAAGGACTAGAAGACCAGATAGCTGCTAAAACAACTGGAACAAAATTTCAGAGGACTGAGCGGCTCAACATTTTTCCAACCCTCATAACCACCAAAGATATGCTTCAAGGATTAGCTGGATAGACTGTTTTCTGCCCAATTTCCTCAGAGTGAAAACCGGAAATTCTCAAAAGATTCCATTAGATCCAAACACAAGATATGCACCTGAGTAGGGAAAATCCAGCTGGCTTTGATCTTGCTTATGTTTCATGGGGAGAGGTTGTGCTTTGTCCAAGACTGGATGTCAGATCACCGTTGTAACAGTATGGAAGCATTAGAGAAGGTGAGGTGATGGTGCCTCATCATATGCTTGTTACCTAACTGGGTGCTTTGAATTTGAATAGGCTGTTCAGATATTTATAAAGTGTAAATTGATTTCCCTACTATATCCTTTGATGCTGAAGTATGAATTTATTGAGATTAAAGTGTTCAAGACCTCAAACCATGTTGTTGCAATTTAGTTCTATTCTTAAGTTCCATAGAATGTGCCAATCTTGGATATTGTCTTTGGATGCTGTATTTTAAAATGAGAAGTGAGATACTCAGAAACACCTAATTTGAAGATTTGAAATTAACCAGCATTCACTTCTATGTTTTATTCTTAATTCCAGATAATCAATAATTAATAAATCTGTAACAGTTCCTCAGGATGTCAGTGGGCTTGGAAAAACTTGAGAGAGTTGAAGACATGGCACGGACTGATGCAAGTTCTGAAAGACTGTGCATTCAATCAAGTGAAGGCGGTGAACAGGATTCATTTAAAGATTTGAAACTAGCTTCCCAGACAATACTAGAAACGCTCCAACAAAATGGTCGATCAAAATGTCCAAAATGCCTGAGTTCAAGGATGTTTTACTGTTACTCATGTTGTCTTTTGGTAGATGGTGTGAATTCTGATGAGATACCTCAGGTGAAGGTTTGTACCTAAAGTTTGGTCATCAGTTAAGTTCTATAATAGAGATTGCTGTACAATTTCTAATGTCCGGACCCTTCTTGAGCATTTTCTTTCACTTAACCACACAAGCTTGATTTCACCTGGATGTAAAATGCTAATTTTTTTTTTTGTGTGGTTCCGATATAATAAATAAAAGGAAATGTAAACCAATTCCACACCCTTTAACACTGGTTAATTTGTATACTGGCACTCAGAAGATTGGAGAAGTTACATTAAAATGGCATTGATTAATCTATTCCATTCTAATAGAAACCTAGCCATAAAGTTGATGAAGTGTTCATGCTATCATTCTTTGTTTTATCTATTTCTCATATAATTCATAAATATGTGTGTGTACAGACGAATCTTTTACTTTTATGTCATGAGCTGTCACTTGGTTGGAAAATCTGATTTCTAACATTGGAGAAATGAAACATCTGTGGTTCATCATGAATTTGAGTACATTGTTTTATTCCAGCATTTTACTGAAAACATTGCCTTATTGGTCACTGTGAGTCACAGCTTAAATTCTTCCTATCCATTTATGATGCCCACACGCATGGAATTTCTGTTAGATATCATTCACTCATCAATCAGTGGTCATTAAGAACTAGCTTAGTATAAATAACTTCAGTCTTACATTGGACAGTCGATTCTTAATGCCCTCTGCAGTGGCTTTCCCAGTTTTAAATCGTTACTTTGTCAGAGCAACTGGGGTGCAGACTTATCTGCATCCAAGGAGCATATTTTAAAAATAATGATCTTCATATATGCAAATTGGCTGCTGCATTTGCTTGCAAAATAAATTGAAACTACACTTTCGGATATCTGACAAAGGCTATAAAAATAAAAATTTATTGTTTCTTATTAATTATATCATCTAATTTCTATTTTACTATAAAGTAACAATATTATTCATTTTCAGCTCCCTTTGAAGATTGATATTATCAAACATCCCAATGAAACTGATGGCAAAAGTACTGCTGTACATGCAAAGCTGTTGGCTCGGGATGATGTTAATATTTACACATATCCTTGCATGCCAGATAATGAGGAGGAAAAGCATGAAGTAAGTTATCAAAAAACACTTTCCTTATCTAAGACCACATAATGCCTTTGTTTTTTAGCTTAATGCCACATACCATTTACTTAGGTGGCTTATTTTGAATTTCTGTATTAATAGTCATACTGTAATAAGATAGAAAAATGTATTGAGTCCATTCAAGGAAAGGTAACATAGTCTGGGCTCAAAATGCATGTAGGAAGTTGTGTGATTAAAGTATAAAGAGAACTGAAGGTTTTCTTTAAAGAATCATTTTGTTATTTCATTTTGTGTTGCATGTGATTTTAGTGTGTCACTTTAATTTTAATCTGTCATTATTTGATGCTTCCCTGTTTTAGGTTGTAGTGGTGTTCCCCGGTCCAAAGTCAGTTTCCTTTGAAGATCTTCCCAAGCATTTGTCTAAGCTTGCTAATGAAAAATCCGCTCTTTTGAAACATTCCTCTAAGAATGTTCGCAGCCGCGATGAGAGCATTACATTGGAAGAACCAGAACATAAACGTGCAAAATATGACCATAAAGACCAAGGCAGTTCAGAGGAGCGGGATTTTGGACAGGCAAAGACAAAAATATCTCCATTAAAAAGAGTGATATTTATTGACAGTACCTGGAATCAAACCAACAAAATAATTACTGATGAACGTCTTCAAGGTAACTTGTAACTTAGTATATTGGTGAGCTTGCTTGGTAATCTAAATCTGTTTCTTGTCTTGCATAGGTACAGAATCACCAAATGTTCTGATTCAGTAAAACCAGATAGTCAGTTCAGTAGCATTTACAGTTGTTTTGGTGCATCCTCAGATAAATTGTACTTAATTTATTTAATCATTGTCTTGCAAACGCTTTAGCCTTTATTGACCATTACTTTATTTCTGCTCCCACTGGCCCACTCTATATGTATTCTGAACTGTATTCCACTTACTTTTGTGCTCTGTGTATTCTGTGTATTTTGAGATCTTTATAAAGAAGTTAATTTTGTGCTTTTGGAATTCCAATCTCAAAATTGAGCTACTACACACACACAAAGGAAATTTGGATGGTCTGTAAAGGGGGCTGGAACAGCAAATTCTAACTCAACAACTTGAATTTGTAAAACATAATAACGTGAAAAAAAGCCTTGGACACTTCACCAAGTAGGTGCAATGAAAGTGGATGTGGAACACCGTGCACCATCATCTTTGAGAATTAGTTTGTGGCTTTGGTAAATATTTGCTTGCCGTGAAATCATTGCTAATCTGACTGATGGAGGTCCACCCCCCCCCCCCCCCCCCTTTAAATTGCACAAAGAGCAGGAAAATCAAAGTGAGATTGAGATTAAAGCATTATTTTGAAAATGGCTGTCATACCTTCCAGATTGATGTCATGATCATCCAGTTGCTTTCTTATTTTGTTCTATGACCTTATTCATGTTTATAAAGGCTTGGGGTTAATAGAAAATTACATACAATGTACATTAGGAAAACCAGCAAGTAAGTCCCTGCAAGTGTTTATGTTCCACTTCTCCTCCTTCCTCATTTAACTTCATCAGGATTAGTGTATAATAGTTTTTGTCTCATAGGGTTGTCTAGCTTGTCATAATCATAGAATCCCTACAGTGTGGAAACCAGGCCCTTCAGCTTAACAAGTCCACAACGACCCACAGAACATCCCATCCCCCTATAACCCATCTAATCTACACATCCCTGAACACTATGGGCAATTTAGCATGGCCAATCCACCTAGCCTACACATCTTTGGACTGAGAGGAAACCCTCGCAGACATGAAGAGAATGTGCAAACTCCACACAGACAGTCGCCCAAGGATGGAATTGAACCCGGGTCCCTGGCGCTGTGAGGCAGCAGCGCTAACCACTGGGCCACCGTGCCGCCCTTTAAAGGCAATATATAGTGTTCGGCTCAAGTACTCCCTCTGCCAGCAAAGTTCAATTCTCACCATTCCAGGCATTTTATTGTGAATGGCCTACTTAATTTTTATTTTGGTGTCATCTTACATTGTGGCCAGTAGATTTGCTTTTTCCCACTTTTAGAAATATTCTACTCAATCAAAACTGTTCATCGTTTTAAAGGTCTCTTTTAGGTTACCTCTCAAGAAAAGCGGCCCAGTTATAACATTAAACAAAATGAAAATTAATCCAAAGTCAAGCAAAATTGACTAAAGTTTTCTCGCTATTGATCTTTATTCAGCAATCCCAGTTAAAAGCGAGTGTTAATTCTGAGTGAGGATATAAAGAGTTTCGACTTCTATGTCTGATACCAAACTAATTTTTCCTGCTGAAGTTCAAAATAGCAAATCCTGGTAATAGAGCTGGCATCTTCAGAACGTGAAGGAAAGAGGAAGATATTATGACGTTAACTTAATTGGAAACATGTTTCCATGTAATTAACAATTACATTAGAAGGATATGATTTAAATTGTAACATATTGTTTAGTTAAAAATACATATTTGTATTGACTGTTCTCAAAGTTTAATGTTTCCCTGCACCCTTCTCTTTGTAGAATTACTTCATGTTGAACTAAGAACACGGAAGACATGCTTTTGGCGTTGCCAGAAAGGAAAGCCGGACACATATCTCGCTACAATTGAGGCTATTTATTATTTTTTAGTTGATTATCATCAACTGCTTTTGAATGAGAACTACAATGGGGAATATGACAATTTATTGTTTTTCTATTCATTCATGTACAGATTAATCAACAGAGCTAAACTTGCAGCTGGAAAATTGAACTGAAGTGAAAAGTAATTGATAATACTTCTGTAGTTTGACACCATAATTAGTAGACTAGTACAATAAATAAGATTAAAGTAAATTCTGGCTTTTAATATCAAAGCACCAATGATTTAAACTTGTGTAGTTTGTTAAATTTCTGTTGGTCTCTGATCTTTGCTTTTTTCAATACAAGATGTGTTTAAAAAAAAATTAAAATTATTTTTTCATTTATCAGTTAAGATTTGCTTTAAAGTAAACTATTGTGTATGTTTTTTCAATTAAATGTCTTCTTCCCTAAAGCAGAAAGTAACATTGAACGTAGATGACATCACTCGTGTTCTTTTGTTTTTGTTTTCTTCAAAATTGGAAACATCTTTTTTGCAGTATCTTGGTTTTTTTAAGATTAGCTAGCAGCATTTGGCTGTCTATTGTTGACATAGGTTTAGAGATCAAAATTTGGTGTAAATTCAGTTTGAAAAGCATTGATTCTGAACTATTGAGAAATATGGAAGACATTTTAACGTCTGTGTAGATTTAAAACTGCTGTTAAGCACAGAAAAACATTCAGCCTATTGAATAGCAGAGTAGACTCAACGAGATCATGGCTGATCTGATAATCCTCAACTCCACTTTCTGTCTTTTCCTTATAACCCTTATTGGTTAATAACTGTCTAACTCAGCCTTGGATATCCTTAGTGACCCAGTCTCTACAGTCCTCTGCAGTATAGAATTCAAGTTCCACTGCTTTAAGGGAAGAAATTCCTCATTTCTGCCTTAAATTTTATTCCAAGATTATGCCTTCTGGTTCTTGACTGTCCTACAAGGGGAAACAATCTTTCCATACGTGTCCTGTCAAGTCTTCTAAGACACTCTTGTATGTTTCAATAAGGTCACTTCTCTCATTCTTCTAAAGTCCAATGAGTACAGGTGCAATCTACTCAATCACTCCTTTATAAGACAGTTCCTCCATCCTGCTAACAGCCTAGTGAACCTTGTCTGGACTACTGCCTACAATGCCAGGATATCTTTTCTTCGAGAAGAGCCTAAAACTGTTCACAGCATTCAGCTGTGGCCTGATTAGTGTTTTGCATAGTTTTAGCAAAACCTCCTGCCTTTTATATTCTGTTCCCTTTGAAATAAGGTCAATATTCCATTTGCCTTCTCTATTACCCACTGAATTTGGATGCAGCTTTTTGTGACTCAGACACAAGAACTTCCAAATCCCTTTGTTCTGTAGCTTCTGGCAGCTTTCTTCATTTGAATAATATTTTCCCACTTTCTATTTCATTTGCTGAGTTTTTGCCCTTTCACTTAATGTGCCTATATCCTTCTGCAGACTCTGTGTCATCTGCAAATTTAGTTATAGAACATTGACTTTCCTCACCTAAGTCATTGGGTTGGCTGTTAATAACTTTGTCAGAATGCACAAAAAGACATGGGAGTAGCCGGCACGTTTCTTGGAGACATTTGGCAATCTGACTTGAAGATTGGAAGAGTACACAGATGCTGGCTATTCCATGCTGGCTGTGGCTGCCTACATGTCCAGGTTGGTGGCTGCCATGGAGAGCCAAGTCCAGCTCTCTCGGTGGCTGCTTGTTATTCATACAACCCTGCATTCTGTGAATGGCAACATGAGAGGAGAATTAAGGGACCTTGATCTACCTCAAGATGTCACTTCCTCACAATGGCTGTAGCCCATGCCTCTACCTGTAATGATGCAGAACTCCTGACCATGAATGCGTCAAGTGACCAATTGACCATGTCCAAGGCCATGGTCGTAAATCAGACAATGCCCTTCACTGACTGTGGCTGGACCCCCTGACTGATTGGATTTGACTAAAGACAACTTTCCTTAGACTTGAGGCCTGGCTATTTAGTTGCAGTACATTCATCATGTTTGCATTGTAAGCTGTTGGCATGTCATACTGATGAAGGAAGGGGCCATACACTAACATGTCCATCCCCTTGACTGATCATTGCTGGAAATATGACTGGCTACCTTGCTTTGTGTCTGCACTAAAAGACAAGATAGTAGTAGTGGGAGCCTGTAAACTCTGAATGAGGCAGAAATGCGCAAAAGAAAAGACATGCTGTGAGCATCCAAGTAGCTGCAGTGATTCTGTGCTAAGAAAGCAACTGAAGAGCCCAGAGATGCATCCTGTCCTGATGCATGCCTGTCCGTGCCTGGCAGCAGCATTGCAATGAAAGGTATCAGCAACATCCAAAGTGCAGTACTGATGTGTTGAACTATATTCTAAGTGAGTCGGAGATGCAGGTGGTTGCTTGTCTGATGCCAACCTCCAAATACAAGGTATGCAGTCAGTGTTTGCCCATGGACCATGCCCAAAATGTTGGGGACTGCAGGCTAAGATAAAGCCCGGTGGAGTAAAGGGAGAGCTGGATCCACCGGGCACCTGCTCTGACTTTCATGTTGGGAATTGGTAACACCGCAACTTCCATATAAATAAGGTGAGAATAGGTAATATGAGACGTTAATCACTCAAACTGGCCCTTTGCTACCCACTAGCAAGATTCTCATCTACCTATTAAATCCTTAAGAGAAAAAGTAGCTGATTTTCCACCTGAGTCGAGAATTTTGTTTTTGCGATCTCATCAAATTTTCCCAACTGATTGCCCACATTGATCGGTGGCTGGGAATATTCTGGCTTTATTTTCCCATTAATCTGACACACAGTTGTGCCAGTGCAAACTGGTTTCCTAGGATTTGCATGGTTCTGTCGGTAAAGTTAGGGCAGACAAGAGAAGGACCCAAATGGAAACTCACTTCTAGGTATTTTATTGATGCTGATCAACAGGCATGATGTTGCTTTGGCAAGAGACATGGCTGCAATAGGCTCACATACATGTATTTGTATCATAAAGTTCAGTTGGTATTGAGGTGGGGGGGGGCATTAATCTATAGGAGTTGGTTACTTCTGCTGCTCCAAGGCCATTCTAGATTCTTGATGTTTGTACATTGGTAACTGACACTCCATATCACCTAATGTTGGATTGAAGGAGGCTAATGAGAAGTTAACACTTTCTGTAGTCGCAGTTTTAGCTGACAGGCCAGATAGGATTGTCAGTCCACTGTAATTATTTGGTACTGCAGAAACAGCTCAATAGCTAAAGGCATTCTTGAATCTTCTTCCATTCCTAAAATCCAAACAACCTGATTTAGCACAGTATGACAGAGCAAGCTGTCAACAATTCTGCAAAAATTAATGCAAAGGCTATTATTATTCTGTTAAATCAATGTTACTGAAGCAGCACACCCATATAAAGTACCATTCCTCACTGGCCTGCTCTCTGTTAAGACCACCCACATTCACTTTGCATAACTTAAGAGTTAGTTGTATATTACAATTTATGGCTTTCATTTTTCTCTTTATGGAATACTTATTAATTACAAGTGCTTTGTGAATTCAGTATGAGCCAAAGCCAAAAAGCAATATGTTTTGCTAGGATGTCTTGTAAGGCTCTATACAAGTTGTTTATTTGAATTTCCAGAATGACACTCTTTTCTGGCAGAATGGCTAGAGAAGAAGCCAAGAAAAGAACTAATTGTCCACAGAGCTGCACCCCCTGCCAAGGTCTGTTTACAGGCTTCATGCATACTGTAACACTTTCATCTGGACATCTGAAATTTATCTTGACTATGTTATTCTATCAAAGACCTATTCTACCCTTCAATCATATAATGATAGATGGTCACAATTTTTCAGAATTCAACTACCTTTGAAATTTCTTAAAAGTGTAAGATGGGGTGCAAGGCATCAAAACAATAAATCTGTAGGCCAGGAATAAGGGGGTCAGAAGGGATACAAAAACACAAATTTCAAAGCTCAAAAGCTGAAGAATCATTGAGTGAAGAACAACTATCCTGTAAGTGAAAGAAAACTTCAACAAAATAATTTCCTCTCAAACACAGTTATACATTTTCTAGTGGCTGACTTAAGCACCGTGCCGCCATCCACTTGACTGATGGCCCTCATTCCTATGATCATTCTCATAGGCATTTTCTGCACCATACCTTAAGGCTTTAGAGCCTTCCTGAAAAGTGGTTCCCAGAATTTGACACAATACTATCATTGAGGCAGAAATAGTGTTTTATGTGGTTCACCATAACCTACTTGCTTTTGTACTCTTGTCAAGTCCAGGATCCTATTTGCATTATTAACCATGTTTCCTCAATCTGTGCTGTCTCCTCTAGATGTATGCATATGTATAGCACCTTTCATGACCACAAAGTACCTTAGCGTCAATTAAATACTTTGCAGAGTTAGGGCAATGCTCCAGTGTAGGAAACATTACTGTATGCATGTTGCTATGCCCTCAAGCAGCACTAAAATAAATTAATAATCTTAGTGATATTGCTTACGTGATAAATATGGAAGGACTTTTCTGCTCTTTGCATTGTGTTTTTGGGCCATCTTAGAAGGCAGCTGGAAACTTGGTTTTACTTTCACCAGGGCGATACTTTTAGTAGTATGTATCGCCGAGCTAAGGCTGCAAAATGTGAATTAAAGAATAGGATGAGGAAAGAAGAGAATCAAACAATTGCAATGAAATCTAAGCAGATAACAAATCTACGCCTTGATCTCTTTCACTCTCTGACTTACCTTCCAATCATTTCTCATATTTGTGGTCGCAATAGGAAACCTTCCTCTAGCAAGTGCCCTTTCCACTTTTATCAGCCATTCACTCCTGTAAACAAAATTAGTGATAAATTCCATTATCAAGACAACTTGATATCCAAGTGGGTCGTGACCCAAAACGTCAACTTCCGTGCTCCTCTGATGCTGCCTGGCCTGCTGTGTTCATCCAGCTCCACATTGTTGCCTTTGATAGCCAAGTGTCAGAAAAAGAGGCAGCTACAAGAATAATTTCATGACAAAATATACAAGGGAACTTTGAATCTGTATAACAAATTAACAACCTTAGAATATACAAGAAATATTGTTTTTGAATTCAAAGTATTTAACTTTGAAATTTGAAGTATTTAACTTTGAATTTAATTTGAAGTATTTAAGTGAACACTGATAGATGAACCTTCTGTTTTTTCATTATATATCAGAAATTTAGATTTGGATCTGCCATCTTATCTCCAGTGTTTTTTTTAATGATTCCTAAAATGGCCTGATCTAGACTTCACTATGCTTGCCTCTTTAAGCTTTTGCAAATCTTTAGATCCCAGGGTAACTTGCTGCTGATTGGTGGGCAATTTCCCGATTGTAAATGAGCACCCAATCAGAATATACATTTATATTTACCACCAACATAGTAATGAGTCAATGGTGTTACTATTAATCCTGAGAAATGAGGATGCGTTCAAACCCTATTCCAGAGAGTTGAGCACACAATTTCAACTGATACTTAATGCAGTACACACAACCTTTCGTGATTTTATGATTTCTTTTCAGTATTGACCTCCAATGAGGTAACCCAGTGTTCCCAAGATCCAAATATCATGCTCAGGTGGACCGATCAAGAATGGTAGGGAAGTTTTCCATCTGGTTACCTAGTTATTTTTCTTAAGTTCAATGTTTAAATATGTTCCACAAACCATATTTGCATCATTCTCCAAGATTTCGAAAACTATTTTACATATAGTGAATTGTCTCAAAAGGGAACTGATTTGTTAAGCAGACAAAATCTGGCAGTCTTCTCGCATGTGTTCAGATTCCACAAAGAAAAGTGATAAATAAGAAGTCTAAATCACTCAGCTCTAAATAATATCATCAGACCATAAACAAATAGTGAGAGATATTTGTGTCCTCAGACATTTTTAGCATTAGCATATCAAAGGAAATGTGTATCTATGGGTATATTTACCTTTTGTTTGGACATATCCGATACATGAGTAACACTGTTAAATCTAATTTCCAACTTTATTAACGAAATCAATCAGCATTGTGCATTGATTTAAACCTGAAGCTTTCTTCAGGGCTCAACATGTTTGGACAACGCCAAGGTTTATAAACAAATCTTCTCGTTTTAGTTATTTTCCTCCAGTTGTATTAGCCTTTGCATTGACATCCATTTTTCAAAATAATTCCTATTATTCCTGAATGATGAAGTTAGGGTCCAAACATACACAACTAGTATCTATTGAACAATGATCCAAAAGATTTCAAGTCTGTTTTTTTTGACACAGGTTATTACATATGGATTAACTGCCATATTTCTGGTGTTAGACCAAGGTTAAGATTCCCTGAAACAGCTTTAGTTTGGTAGCATTGCAAAATTCCAATGTGGTAATGCTTAGTAATGTTCTCCAAACAAAATATCATTTCTTTTTCTCCATACTTTTACTTACCCAATCCTTGTTATCCACTTTAGTCAAGGCAGTCCAGATACATTCTATAAAAATGTTCAACATCAGTCTTTAATGAATTTGCAGGAGCCATATGTCATCAAAACAGGAAAGTCCCTGGTCTCTTTTCTTTCCCACGATAAATGACCCAACAGCATCAAAAGACAGTACTTGTATGAAAATGGTGACCATAAAAGTTAGTTAAACTGATTGCAAACTTAGGAAGCTACTATTATATAGCTACTTGCCAAGAATCACCAAGTCATTAGTGCTGCTTTAGTCCGTCAACTTACCAATGATTAACACTTTTAACACCTTTTGCCCCATTCATAAAACAAATTCCACATCTTAGCTGACAGTACATGAAAAATCAAATTAGACTGTCATGGATAGGAAGGTTTATCACAGTGCAAATCAAGACGGGAGATTTAACTTAAGGACTGTGATGGATTCACTGTCGATATATTGCCTGCCCAACTTTCCTTACCATGGAAATCAGAGCATAAAACAGAGGCAGCCAATTTGTTACCAGTCATTTTCTGCCATGTGTCCACTCAGCAATCACAGCAAATGGGGTTTTTGTTGCACCCCTGGGCAGTACTAAATCCAAAGACAATAGATATACTCTGGTTGGTAGGGTATGGAGGGCTTGCTTATAAGAGTGGCCCTTGGATATTAGGCACGAGAGGGGTTTCTGATAAAATTCTGCCTTAAAATTGCAACACTGATCAATGACAATAGACAAAATTATTAAGGATTTTTTTTCCCCTTTGAACATTAGCAAAGAACATTTAGATCATTTTTTCCTGCCATAAATGAAACATCTTTTAAAACACTACAGGGAAAAATTGCAAAATGGTTACTCTTAATTCTTAAATTAATTCTTTACTTATCCTTATGACCAAATTTAGTTCAATGCAATGAAGACCATAGCAGATGAATTATTTTGACAAATTACAGAGTCATACAGCATGGAAACAGACGCTTTGGTCCAACCACTCCATTCCGACCATAATCCCATAAACTAGTCCCACCTGACAGTGCTTGGCCCATATCCCTCGAAACATTTCTTATTCATGTACTCATCCAAATATCTTTTAAACATTGTAACTGTACTCGCATCCACCACTTCGCATGGAAGTTCATTCTACACATGAACCACTCTCTGTGTAAAAAAATTGTCCCACTTGTTTTTCTTAAATTTTTCTCTTCTTATCTTAAAAATATGCTCCCTAGCATATATTGAAAGCCCCCATCCTACAGAAAAGACACCTGCTATTCGCCTTATCTATATCCATCATGATTTTATAAACCCGGAGCCCCTAAAGCAGCTTCAACCTCGTATACATTATTAGCAACTCTTGTCTAATATTTGATTATTGATACGCCATTATTGTAAATGCATAAACAGAAAAACATTGTGGGAAATTCTTAGATACAGAAGATTTATATGGGATATCCTCAAATTACATAACAGGCAGTCCAGGTTGTGAAAGGGTTCTGTTCTCAAGTCTGTTGATTTGTACACAATGCAGAACAATATAAAAAAGCTGGTCAAAAGTACAGGAAACGATTGTATGTCAGATCTTTAAAATTACACCCACTATATGGGATCACGTTCATAAGTACAAACATTCATAAGTTGGAGGTTCATCGATCAGGACCCCTAGTATTGCAATGACACTTTCCCAGGGTGAGGGTAGGAGGGAATGAAGAAACAAACTATGGTTTTAGATAGGAGTTTCAAATAATATAAGAACAAGACTAGCAATAGAGTTGAAGAAAGAGGCACTTCTCTAAGCAGACATGCTAGGAATGCTTCTCACTTCCAGTTGGGATCTTGTAGGATTGTGGCAACCAGAGAGCCAGCACATACCCCTCATCAAATCTGGAACAGTGTTGTCCATGATATGCAGATTGGATTAGAGCCACAAGTCTGACGGTACTTCAGTTTGTGGGTTTGGAGCTGTAATGAGTCAGGATTGCCAACTTGGATTAGAGCCACTAGAGGTTGAATAATTTTTTTTCCCTGCAGCTTTGAAAAGCTATGCAAGTGGTAATGATTAAAAACCCAACAGCAGTTTTTCAGCTGGGTTCAGTATGAAGACTTCTTCTGGTCAAAGGCAATAGAATTAGACACGTATAAAAAGACCATTTTCATTTACTGGATACAAGTACCAGTGCATACCAGTTTGCTTAGTTGACACTAATAATTGAAGCTCTTCCATTGTAAGAATACTACATTGTTGGTTAGGATGGACAGGTTTCTTTGGCCTGGCATTGCACCATGATTCTTAAATTGACTTGTTAAAGTTTTTAGTTAGTATTTGTACCAGATTAGAATGCCAGATATATATATACTTAGCTGACTACTTAATCCTCAATGCTTTGTAGTTTTGTGTTATACTAATTACTTGATTAACTGACTTGCTGCTAAAATGCTTTACATGAAAATTGATTCTGTTTTGTTCTTCAACATATCAGATACTGAAGTACCACGACAAACATAGAGCATCCTGGAGAAGCTCAATAGATCTGGCAGCATCCATGAAGAGAGATACAGTATTAATATTTGACTCTGTTATGACTTCTTCAGAACTGAAAAGTGATGGAATTTTTGTTAAAAAATGATATGGATTAGTATACAATGGCACCATGTTTGTTTTAGATGTTTGGCATGCACAGTATTTTGCTTTTGAGTAGCACTGTTAAATCTGATTTTGAACTTTATTACCCAAATTTATTGGTTGTACACCAAGCTCAACATCATAGATTGATTTGGATGTGAAATCTTCTGGGCTCAACATATTTAGCAGATGTGCATAATGCTAGAGTTTATTTTTAAAAAATCTTGTCTTTTTAGTTATTTTCTTCCATTTGTACTAGCCTTTGCTAGTTCGCATATCTACTTTTCACAGAGTAATTTCTACTACTCTTAAATGTGGGAGGTTAGGGGTGGATATGTCTAAACATGAATAGGTAATACCTGTCATACATCTGAAAGTCATTATCTAAGCATTAATTTCTAACTGTTGTCAGATTCAGGAAATGTTAAAATAGTTAATTCATTGTGAAATCGTGTATAGAAAGCAAAATCTAAATGCTGGGAAAGGTATTTTTAAAATCTCCCAAGGAAATGTTAGTCCACATTTGTAAAAGTTAATTTTCTGTGCCAGATATTGTTTGGCTTTATTAAAAATTACATTTTTAAAAGAAAACCCTGACACGATGGTAATAGATAAAATCCAACATTTTCTGGCATATCCACTAGCTATCTAATGGTAAGTACAGCAAATTCACACTGTTTCCTATGTTCAATGCTGATTCTCTTTACAAGATACTAATAAAGCTAAGTCTCTGGGGACTTCATCACCAGAATTTGCTATACCAATTTATTATTTAATAATGTTGAGTACTTGTTGTTTGTACTGCAAAACCTGGACTGTTATCATCTTCAACAGTGTCCGATGTAAAACAAATGCACTGGTGAGTCATAGAGGGAAGAAGCAATTATGTACAATGTACAACATCTGCTTGGCTTGGTATGGTTTTGTGGATTATGTTGTTAATTATGTGTTTTGGTCTTTCCATTTAACCTTTAATAAAACAAAGCTGAGCTTAAATATTATTTATCAATTATGTCTGTAGTTAACAAATTCATTTTGGTTTACATCAATGCTAGTGACAACAGAAAAAGGTTTCTATAGAATTTTCAGTAATTAGCAATTGTTCATTTACACTGAAAAGTCACGATGGAAGCACATCTACTTATAATTAAAAAATGCTGCAATGATTGTACTGTATTGCTGATTCCATAAAACTACATTAATGTACTACCCTCTTCATTATAACTTTTTTAGTTTATAATTATGTTCACATTGTTCTAACCTGATTTGGCACAATATATTGTTCCCCCAAGTATCTGGTCACTTAATCTAATTCTGCAAAAATATGGAAGATTAATCTTGACAATGAGCTCTTGCAAAGTGGTAACTAGTTTTCCCCGACACTTCACTGAATAAACTCGTATATTTCATATATTTTCCACCACTAAATTAATTTCCAGCATTTGTTTCTTTCATCAGTTTGTTTTCTAGCATGAAACTACCATCAGTCATGGTCACATGTAGTTGCCAATACAAGCCCTGCAGGAAGTTTTAAAAGGAATTGTGATCATCTGCTTTTGTACTCCCCACACCCCCCCACCTTTATTTTTTTAAATGGGATGTAGGCCAGCATTTTTTACCATCCAGAAATTCCCTTGAACTGAACGTCTTGCTAGGCTATTAGAGGGCAGTCAATTCTCAACCACATTACTGTGGGTCTGGAGTCACATTTAGGTAGACCAGAAAAGAATGGCAGATTTCCTTCCCTAAAGGTTATTTAGTGAGCCAGACGGATTTTTCACAACAATTGATGACAGCTATCATGGCCTTTATTATAAAGGCCTGTTTTACACTCCAGATTCTTCACTTGAATGCAGCTTCCATGGTCTACTTTCCTGGGATTTGAATGCGTAGCCTCAGACCATTAGACTATTAATCCAGAGACCTAGGCTAATACCATTACCACTAAACTATCACCCCTAGATTTCATAACAAAAGCTCTCAATATAGAGGAAACACTAGTCATGGCACTGATCAACACTCTATATATTGTTTTTATATTTAACATATGATGTGACTCTCACAAATTGCGTAACAATTTGTGAATCGCTTATAGAGTCCTTATAGTGTGGAAGCAGGCCACTCAGCCCAACGAGCCTACCCAGACCCACCCTATTCCCGTAACTGTGCATTTCCCATGGCTAATCCACCTAGCTTGCACATCCTGGACACTATGGACAATTTAGCATGGCCAATCCACCCAACCTGCACATCTTTGGCCTGTGGGAAGAAACTTGAGACCCAGAGGAAACCCACACAGACACACGGGAGAATGTACAAACTCTACACAGGCACCTGAGGCTGGAATCAAACCTGGGTTCTTGGTGCTGAGGCAGCAGTGCTAACCACAGCCATGGTGCTGCCCTTAGAGATGCAACTTTCTTCCAACACCCACCAAAAGACTCGTCACTTAAGCGACAATTGCATTATTTTAAAATAATTAATTTGTTATCTGTTTCGATTTTTCTATTAGAATTCCTGATTTCTCATCCCTTTTACTGTTGCCTTCAATCCTTTGTTTTCCCCACAGTAGTTGCTGCTTCTATTCAAAAAAGCTAACACTTGTACTGCTAGTAGGAACTGCAGATGCTGGAGAATCCGAGACAACAAGGTGCAGGGCTGGATGAACACAGCAGGCCAAGCAGCATCATAGGAGCAGAGAGGCTGACGTTTCGGTACTGCTACATGGGTTTCAGTTCCTTCCTTGTTTTTCAGGGAATTAGAAAACGTCAAATAAAATATTTAAAAATCAATCATCCATCTGAAATAAAATAATCAGAAGATATTTAAAAAAGGTAATGAAAAAGAATTGAAAATCTTTCTGCACAGCTCTTTGAGAAACTAAATTACTTTTTCATCCAGAATTATCCCTAATTTTTAATTAATTTGGTTCCCTAATTTTCAGTTGCATTAGTTCTTTAAAAAAAAAACTGAAAACTATCAAAATATTAAAATGTGAAAAAAATGAAATGTGAAAACATTATGAATGATAAACAGTAGTTTCTAGGTTACTCCCATTTGTGATGCTAGCATTCCTGATGTAACCTGGAATTAATTTATTGTAATTTAATGCAAGTACTACGACTGGAACTTTCATGAAAACAATACTGGTAATAAAAGAAATCATGAATACAAATAATATAGGAAAATATTTATTTTCAAATTTCCCCTGGATTAGGTGTTCTGTTAGTTTCCGTAATCTTCAAAGCACGAAGTTCTGGAACAGAATTGCAGGTTTATTCAGTATAACATTTCTGTATCAATGTTTATTTTTCCATCTCCCTAATCTTGCCCTGCAGAGCATCACATGTCTTCTTTGCATCACCAAGCAGCATTGAAGAGTTGGGTTTGTAGAAGATAGGATTGTCAACTGCAGCATAGCCAACTCCGAGGGTTCGTTTCATCACAATAACCTGTAGGTGGAAGGAAATAGACAGCTCATTAAATTCTTGTGCACAAATTTATATTCAATTGGAATTTATTTTGTTAAGTTAAAATATGTAGAGTTTCAGTTACCTGTTATTTGTCCACACATCTTGTTTCAGTTCACAATCAACTATATTAATAGCTAGATTGTGACTTTATAGAAGACATTTTTTTTTAAAAAAGTAAATAATATCTGTGCTAATTTGGTTTTGTGAGAATCCAATCCAATTTTGGAGAACAAATACTTCCTAATTATTCTGGCTATCCCTTTCCATTATATTACAGCTTTGCAGTGCACAAAAACATCGTCCAGTGAATAACTAGTTTATAATCAAATGGCTGCCAAGGGTCAGTTGGTGTGAAACGTTAAAAAAAAGTCACATTAGTGCAGGTTGCTTTTCTGGCAATGTGTCAGATTTGTTAGGGTAAGGTAACAATGATTTTGCTTGCATTCAACTATAACATACTTCTCTGTTCTGGATGCTGCCCACAATGTAACCTCTGCTATTCCTCAGAAATGCTAACCTTCATGTTGCTGATTAAATAATTCACAAATACATGTTTTAAGAAAAACAGTAGGAATTTGTGAAAATTGGATTTAGGATAGCCTTAACTACAAAAGTGGTAAATCAACAAAGCAGGAATGTTCTAGAAACAGGAAATGACAGGCAACTGATAAATTTAAATACTACTATTCTTCAAAAGTTTGTAATGTAGAAGTGTGGTGTTGTGTACGATGAATAAACAAAATTAATTAATTGTTAACAAGAAAATGAAAAAGGCCAATGTGAAGAGCCAAGGCTTGCAATGCAGGTGATCAGATTTGAAAATAAGAAACATGAAATTAAAAATCAGTAAGTGATAAATGACGAACAACTTATTCTAGGTGTCTCATTAAAATGAAAAGGGAGATAGATTTGTAACAATGCTCAGCTGTGAACTATCATCACAATTAATCCAGTTTTTTTAGAAAATGCTCCATAAAGTTCCACACACAAAAGATTTTAAACAGTTAAAGCTCATGGAATATAAACAGCAAAAATAAAATATCTTTAGCTGGCCTGCAAATGGGCTTAGTGGCAAAAAATAAGAAACACAAATGAAAAGACTCAACCTCATGCAGTGGCTAGTCACTTTTACAAGGATTTTTTTGAGTCATGCCTTATTTCCAATATTCATATGCAATGACGACACACACTGGGGCCATTTTCTGACAGCACCGTATTGGGAGAATGATTGCAATCAGAGATCAGAATCAGAACCAGCTTTAGGAAAGACAAACGTGTTTATACATGCGCACAAATGTTTACACTGGATTAGGAAATGTAAAAAAAAAATGCCCAGATGAAGAACCATGTTAATGAACACAGGCAAAAATCCTCCTTTCATTAAATTCAGAACTTGAATCCAGATCCAAGAGATGTAAACCAATTGGGCAACACGGTGGCTCAGTGGTTAGCACTGTTGCCTCAGTGCCAAGGACCCGGGTTTGGTTCCAGCCTCAGGAGACTGTCTGTGTGGAGTTTGCACAATTCTCCCAGTGTCTGTGTGGGTTTTCTCCGGTTTCCTCCCACAGTCCAAAGATGTGCAGGTTAGGTGGATTGGCCATGTTAAATTGCCCACAGTGTCTAGGGTGAGAAATACAGGGATGGTGTAGGGAGTGGGTCTGGGAGGGATGCTCCTCAGAGGGTTTGTGTGGACTCGATGGGCCGAATGGCCTGCTTCCACACTGTAGGGATTCTATTCTAATTGTCTAATATTTGAAACCTAGTCCTTGATGTGTTTGGAAGGCAAGACTATGAATAAAAAAGTTAGTGAAACAAAATAGATTGGCTAAAGAAATTCACCTTGCCACTTTCTTTGAAGAACCGAAATGAATTCGGACGGTACACAACACACGTTTTATATTTGTAATTTTGGGGCAGCAGCAACAGTTGTTCCAGAGGGCTAAGAGCTGAGAGGCCCCTTTAATTCACTACTTTAAAAAAAAAAGTGGCCTATCTAGCTGAGTTTTGAGGCCCAATTCTTGTCCTGAAAAGCTCAGTGAAAAGGTGGGCTATTTTCAAATCTAAAATCTAAAAACAGTTCCCACTACTTAATGGGCACATCTCCCTCTTCCTCATCCCACTCTCAGCTCTGGGATCATGGCAGTTTTTAAGCTTCAAATGGAGTCACAATGGGAAGCACTCTATAACCTGGTCTCCACAACACTTTGATCTAGCAGAGGTCTCAGGGGCTGGAGGAATCCAGATGAAAGCTCAGATTAAGGAAACACTTCCAAGGTTTGAAGAAGACCTGGCAGAGTTCATGAAATCTGGAAGAGACTGCAAGGCCTGGAGGTGTCTTTAGAGGAACCCAGGATTTGAAGGAGACCTGTAGGACAGGAAGCATTAGGGTGGAAGATACATAAATACACAATGCTGGGAACTGGATCTTGCAAAGAAGAAAAACTGAGGCTCTGGAGCAATTGCTACATTGCTTATTGGACACATACAAAAAAAAAAAAAATCTGCTTAGAACAAAGTTAATTGAATCTGACATTATACAAGACTAAAGGGCAAGGCCAGCTTTGGGATGGATCATGGGAAAACATTAATTTGTTGGAATTTTGACCAGGACACATCCTTAATTGGTACAGAGACAGGTTCTGTCTTCAATTAAAGGCAGTGGGTGGATTCTCAAACTTGGACGGCCAATCAAAAAGTTTGATCCAGTTTGAGACAAGCAGCAGACTGCATTAAAAGGATAAGTAACTGAGAAGGTGCTTCACGTAGATGCTGGCCTCCCAGTCAGTTTTTAAAGAAGTGTGATTAAAAAGCAAAGAAAGCAGCCATCGTTGTGGGCTTGGAAAGGAATTTGGAGGGGCAAATGGTCTCCTCAGTGCAACCAGTGACAGCTTCTATACCCCTGGGAAGGAGGGAGGGCCTCTATGCCTATCTGGTGGCCAACCATTGAGTGCTCACCTTGAGGCAGTGGAACTGCACTCCCTGCCATCACATTCGGAGACTGGGAAGTCAGCCAGAAACTCTGCCATTCCTTACTGTTAAAGTTCTTAATGAGCCTAGTTGCCGGTTTTATGCAGGTATACAGCCAGCTTAGCCAAAACAGCTGACACAAGGAAGTTCCTCTATTTTCTGACCCTGTTCAACTCCGTCCCCAACCTCACTGAGGATTGACGATCCGACCCAGCATTACACTGCAAACCAAAAATCCACATTGAGGAGACAGTCTTTTGAGGTTGGGGTTAAAAAGTATATTACTGGATGATGCGTTGCTTTCGGCTGTGATATATTTGCCTTTGCGTTTTCAGTGCTGATGCTGAATGCCAGAAAGAGAATAAAAACTACATTCCCAAGTACTGACGCCTCTTGAAGTCTCTGATTGACTCTATCCCACTGGATATTTTGTTGAAAACAACAACAGGAATGTTTTTACTGTGCACAATTTCCAAGAATGTACCTCAACTGTCATAATGTTTCATTGTATAACTCATTTTTGCCAAGAAATGTTATGCTTGGATAAGAAAAGAAAGCTAAATTCTTATTCTAAAAGGCCAGTCCACTATATTTACAGCTCGTGCAGCAATAATACTGAGGGTGGGCAGGCACCAAGACTAGCAGCCTAGCCACCAGGCATAAATAAACATTCAAGCACCAATTGAGCTTGCTAAAAGCTGAAGTAACTCTGATAATAAGCTGGTCATGCCAGAATGGGTTGGGGGGAGGCAGGCTTGACCTTTCCAGAGGTAAAATGAAAAAAGGGAGGGTCATACCTTCAGGATCATGATACCTTTGTGGATCAAGGCTTCTCCACACCCTCGAACTTCCCATGACAGCACATTGGCTTTGCCTCACTAGAGCATCCATGTTGCCTTCTTCACTGGCCTGCCTGCAGTACTGGCACAGCCCACAAGTGGGCTTGGGGGCACTGATGATACCACTGGAGCTGCCAGCCAATTACAGGGCAGGGCTCCTGCCCCAGTGAGAGGTGCAAGTCTGACAGTTAGCCAACATAACCCACCTATAGTGTGCAACAGATTGCTTTCTGCCAAGAAATGGTGTCTTTAGCTTATTGCCCATTTTCCCACTAGGGCTGGCAGGGGCACAAGCAGTCTACCTCTTTGTAATTTTCAGCCCAAAGTCTTAGTTTGGCAAGTTTCATCGTATTGTGGTAATAACGACACATTGTACAGAGCAACAGTAAGAAGCAGGCAAGCATGGTGACACACTTCAAGAGTTTGAACATGTAGACTAACAATGTTTCCATCCTGGACAGTCCAAAGACGTGAGCCGCAACAGAGGTTGTGGAGAACATATTGGAGTTGTTTAACACGGACTGCCAACCCCAAGGCTCTGGGCTGCAGGGGAAGTCTGGACCTCGGTTTTGTATTTTCAAATTAATTTTGTCAGAACTGACTAGATCCTTTTGTTGACCTGCCAAATCACATGTGCCCATCATGCCATCAAGAAAGGAAAACATTCTCTCTAACATTTTGACTACTTCGGCATTATCCTGAATTCTTTCATTTGAAAAGGAGAATGAAACAAGATCTTCCAAATGGAAAAAAAGAAAGAATGATCTCAGACCTGCTGTACAAGCAAACATTTAAAGAAATGGTGAGGCTATCCTCATTCTGAAGTGGTAACAAAAAAAGGGTATGTGTTATTTGGGGAGCAAATGTTCCTATTCCACAGCTTTTTCTTTTAAAAATACTTGAATGCACCGTTTTTTTTGTTTAACAACTATACCAAGAACCATTTATATAGCACTTCACAGCTACTTATCAAAAAGATGTAGTCATTGTTGCGATGCAGGAAATGTAGCTACAAATTTACAGTCATGTGACAATGACCAGAAAAGTCTGTTTTTGTGACATCGATTGAAGCAGCGCATTAGGCACAACATTGGGACAGCTCCCCAATTTCTCTTTGAAACAGTTGCGTGGAAACTGTTTGTATCCAAGGGGCCAGGGGATCGTCTCATTTGGAAGGTGGCTCCTCTGACAGTGCAGCACTCCCTCACAGTTCATACCTTGACCAACTGAGAATCTAATATGCACAGAAATTATTGAAAAAGGAGGAGACTCAAGAACTCTTCCCCTGCTTCCTCCTTTCAGTCCCCCAGACAAACTCTTTTCCCTGAGCACCAACTCCATCCCTACCCCAGCAACTATCTGGGCTGATCACAACTGCTTGCAACTCAAGTATCACATGGGATATGACCTTAATCCCAAGATGAGCTTTTGATCACATATTCGGCCAGCATAAAGACTGCCGACTTCCACTGCCACAATATCATCCAACTACACCCTTCCAGAGTTCATCTGCTGCTGCTGAAGCCATCATTTCTGTCTTTTTTTACCTCTAACCTGGATAGATTCAAGCAACTCCTAGATTCCCATCTTCCACATTGCATAAGCTGTTTCCATCCAAAACTCTGCGCTAATTTCTTTACTTGCACCATACATTTCTCACCCATCAACCCTGCGCATGTTGACCAACATTGAGGGGCTGCTTGACCAGGAACCAATTTTAAAATTCCTCACCCTTGTTTTTAAATTTCTCCAGTACCTAGTGATCTCCAGATTCATAACCTTCGGAGATATCTACACTCTTGTCTTTGTACAATTTTAATTGAACCATGATTGGCAGCTTTGCCTAACCTCTAGAATCCTCTTCTCCTACTCCCAATTCCTCTTCAGATGCTCCTTCAGACCTACTTCTTTGACCAAGCTTTTAGTCATCAGTCATGGCATCTACCTGACAGAGACTGTTAAATTATGTTTGAAACGCTTCCTGTAAATTGTTGTGGAACCTTAAAGATAGCATGAAAATGCAAGTTGTGTAGAGAAACGGAAGAGCTGGAAATGAATTGAAATATAACGTCTGAGTTGCCTTGTGATGTCATGTATGATAAACTATATTTTCATGGTTCCACAAATAATGCCCTATAGTGAGACGAGCTGATGTACAAATTCTCCTGCCTCAAGACCAAAAAGACATTGTTTATGGAAATTAACTTGGTATGTATCCAATAGAAACGGACTGATCCATTTATGATCTAATTGAAAATCCATATTGTTTTTTCTTCCCCCAACCAATGTATTAAAAACACAATGTGCACAATATTTATAAGAACCAGCCTGACCCTTTCTATAATTGACTGCTTATGAACACATTTATCATCCGCCAAGAAATGGTGTGTTTAGATCAAGACTATGTTTGGCTCAGGATTCCAAATTAAAGCACAGTACTATGATTACTGGGCAAACTCAACAGGTCTGGCAACATCCATGGAGAGAGGCAGTTTTAATGTTTTTAGTCTAATATAGGTGTCTTCTTCAGAATACACTTTGTTGAAAGAGGAGTACATTGAAATGTTGACTTCGTTTCTTTCTCCACAGATTCTACCAGACCTGATGCTTTTCTCCAGCATGTTCCACTTTATTTCAGTATTCCAAATGTTGTATCAGAAAAAAAAAAATCAAAAGCATTGGCCTTTTTAGTAGATTTTGCAGAACCAACCTGGATTCAGAACAAATAATAAGAAATGTTATTGTTCACAAAGCAATTGCTTTGTGTGAAGTATCAAACAATTATTGCTTCAAACACCACTCTAGTTTGTAAGGTACTTTTACACTCAAGCTCACCTGCTTGGCTTTCCAGACCTCCAGAACAGGCATGCCAGCAATAATAGAATTGGGATCTTCCTGTGCTGCTGAATTTACAGTGTCATTGGCACCAATAACCATAACCAAATCAGTCTCTAAGGATACAAAAAGAGCTTGATGTCAGTCTGTTACTGTTGAAAGCAACATAAACAAAATATAAATCAGTTATACAATAATATTTTAGTAATATTGAATCTTAAGTCCAGTTGTTTAAAAAAAAGTACAGAACAAAGATTATTTGTTTCTGCCATAATAAATATTAAACAGGGATTGCAGACTCACAAGTTGAGCCTGAAATGAATCATAGTGAATCTACCTCATTTAGATTAAGCATTCTCAAATGTTACCACCTGATCCACATACAGATAGGAACTTCTACAGGGCAATATTCATTTGGGACATTATACTTTTAAGAAACTTGTGCCCAAGAAGTCAAGTTGCTGAACTACATTCATGACACTGTTCACAAAACCTCTCTCTCTCTGAGGGGAAAAAGTAGCTTCCCTTATAATCAATGCAGTACTTGACAAGTGTAGGATCAAAGATCTTCAACAAAATCCCGAGGGAAAATTGTCTAGTAACAGATCAGGCCTACCACAAAGAAAGTTATGTCTGGCTGCTTGGCAAAATCCAGCCCAAGATTAGTTGAAATTTCTTCCAACTAAGGCAAGATGAACACCATCAGATGGCCCCCTGCTACAAAGATCATCCTCTAGTCGGCAAAGACATCGCCTATTCTGCCCAGGGAGAGGCAGACTGCTCTGAAACCTAGGGTGCAATCTGACCTTGCATTTTCTCAATTACAAGACTGCCTACTTTCACCTCCAGCATTGGTTCCCTGTCCTGACCTTAGATCATCTGCTAAAACTCTTGCTTGTATTACCTCCAGTTTCGACTATTCCAATACTCCCCAGCCAACAGCCTTTACTCTACCCTCCATAAAACTTAGCTCAATAAAATGTCTGCTGTCTATATCCACATTGTATGTACAAAGTTTATTTTCTTAGAGAACTGGAAGAGGAATATTGGGCCAAGTGCTAGAAAATGGGATTAGAATAGGTAGGCAGAAGATGGCTAGTGCTGACATGATGGGTCAAAAGGGCCTTATTCTTAAAACTCTGACTATATGCTGCCACACATAGTTAAGCCTTTCTCCAACTGAAAGGATAGGCAGTTTTAAGGTTTTCTGCTAACGCTGCTCTGGAGAATGATACATCTTGATTTCCTTTCTATTCTTCCCTTTCTCCCTTGTTCTTCCAAGACAAGAATGCACCTCCACCTCAGCATTTCTCCACATATCCTTCGATGACTTTGGACACTCTGTGTGGTGCTGAATCAAGAAGAAATTACAAGGACTGGTGTCAGTTGCTATCAATGTTATCTGATCAGTTTTTCTACATTCAAAACACTAGGAGGGAAACAATTGTGCCAATAACTGTTAAACATATGTTTCTCCTTAAAATTCAAGTTCACTATGCCTGGTTATTTTTTTCAGTGCCCGCTACCATATGAATAAATAAATCCTTGCACTTGCTTCCAAGCAAAGGCAGTTTTCTACCTCCTTGCACTTATGGATTACAAGCACTTTATGCTTGAAGTTTATTTTAAAATTAACTCTTGGTTTGCTGGCAATTTTCATTCATATTACTATGCTTGCTGAATTCAGAGATGTACAGTACGGAAACAGTCACTTTGGTCCAACTCATCCATGCTGACTAGCCATCCTGGATAAATTTAGTCCCATTTGCCAGCATTTGGCCCATATCCCTCTAAACGCTTCATATTCATGTACTTACCCAGATGTCTTTTAGATGTTATAATTGTACCAGCCTCCACCACTTCCTCTGGCAGCTTGTTCCATACACGCAACACCCTCTGCGTGATAAAGTTGCCCCTTTGGTCTCTTAAATCTTTCCCCTTTCACCTTAAACCTATGCCCCTCTAGTTTTTGACTCCCATCCCCCTCCCAAGAAGACCTTGTCTATTTACCCTATCTATGCCCCTCATGATTTTATAAACCTCTGTAAGGTCGAATTGTTTAGGATAGAAACAGCATTTTGTTAATTCTTGTTTAATTCTGGAGCTACTTATTTTGTGATTGAATGCAAAATAAAGGCTATGAATTGCATTACAAACTCAGCAGAGATCAGTAATTTTTTTTTTTATAGTAGACACCTGGATTTTCAGATTCTAAAAGAAAATAGCGAAAGTGTATGGCTTAAATCAAAAGTATTTTACGATCGAAATATTGAAGAACTTGAATACTAACAAATGCATCTTAAATAGCCACTCTTATTAGTTACGATTAAACATAATAAAACAATTAACTCAGCTACTTCTAATCAAAAATAAACCATTTAAATCACATATCATTCTGTCCTCAATAGATCGAAGGCTCTTATAAACTCAGGGCAGATACTTATCAAAAATTGGAAGATTAACTTCTTGATCTCAATACTGCTTTGAAGATTTGTGTAATTGTTGAGTTTTTAAAAGACTTTCCACTTACTTCCATCAAGGCTTTCCCTTTAAATCTCCTCCAACTATCCTATCGTCATAGCTTCTCCATTCAACATGGGCATTGCTAGTGCCATAAACGGGACCCCTTGGGTAAAAAACTCTTCTAGTTTTAATAATGTTTTAATTCTGCCGATTGGAATCTAAAATTCCTTCAGCTTGGCTATCCCAGAAGTAAGTTTATTGCTGGAAGTCCTTTGAAAATTTAATTTGTTTAGTCAACATACCAAATTTCCACTGTATTCTATTTGAGAGAAATCCTCTCTCTTCTGCAGCTTGTGTTGAACGGCTTTAGCACAGAAATCAGCACACTATAATTAGCTTAAATGGATCTTTTCCCCTCTTATTTATTGTCCAGTCAACCAGATCATGCGATCATTCACTAGTGACTGGGTGAAGTACCCAAAACCAAATCCTAGGAAAAAATTTAGTTCTAAAAGGAACCTTCACCTGCAAAGTGAAGTAATTCACAGGATGTGGGCATCATTGGCTAGGCCAGAATTTACTGTCCACCCTTCACTGCCCTAGAGAAGGGTAGTGGGGAGCTGCCTTCTAGAAACACGATAGTCCATGCTAGAAAATAAATGGACAGAAATTTGTTCAAGAGGTTTACACTCTTTCCAGATTAGTTGGCGAGCACAAGTGAGGAATTAAACAGCAAAGGATATCAAGTTTGAGGGGGCCTAGGGAACAGGGACTGGGTAGGAGAGGAGCGGTGTAACAGATTTTGAGCTGTTCTCTTGCACATATTTGTCAAATGCGAGATAGGAAAGGCCTGTTTCCTTTTAGGGATAGGAAATCCCTATCCTAGGGATGTTACAGCTTATCTAACAAGTTTCTTCCTGAAGTAATCTTTGGCAGTATTAAACAACACAGTGAGGCAAATCAACAAAAACTTCCATCAGAAGTCCAAATGTAGAAGAGAAAAAAAAAAAAAAAAAAAACACTTACTTTGCAGTATGGAGTCCAATAAGATGTTATAAACAACTAATAATGTGCTAATGGGTACAGTAGTATAGTAATGGTAGAGATTACCAGTCTAGAAGTCACAAATGGTGCAATATATGTACAATGTACTTATGATGTTACAATTTTTAAATTTATGCTCAGGTGTTGAACATTTTGTGTATACATGACTGATAAGGAGATCAAAGTGGAAAAGCTTAATAAGAACTCACTGCAAATGGGTGCTGGGCAGGGGAGAACCTGCTGTTTATTTCTATTATGCTCTGGCTTTATTTCTGACATTCATGGTTCTCAGACTTTCTAACCAACTCTTCAACTTACTGCTGCTCAAACAATAGAAATTAAAGCTCAACTTATTTTTTTTTTTAAAAAAAAGTGTTTGTGTAATGTAGTTTTCTGATAAAAATTATTAATAAAAACAAGGGACAATATTGAGGGGACATTGCACAAGTTTCTGGCAGTGCCTCAAAATTATTACTTTTTTTCTGTTCTCACCTGGGAAGTCCTCGTTTATCTCATCCATTTCTAAAACAATGTCATAAGGTACACCAGCCTCAGCCAGAAGTACATTGAGTTGACCAGGCATTCGGCCTGCAACAGGATGTATTCCAAACCTGCAAAACATCATTCCAACAATTAATGAAAATAACCTTCATATTAGTAAGAACCATAAGTAGCTTCTATATTTGGAAGAAAAATTTTCATTGCTTTTTATAACAATCAAACTGCGCCTCAATGAAGAGACCCCAAGTTGGCTGGTATCCCTGAATTACATTGTTTTTCAGAGCTAAAAAAAAAAAACTGGCGTGTTTGTTTGGTGCAGACTTCAGAAAACGTGCCATTTTTCTTGGATATTCAGTGCTGAATTTCTAACATCTATGCAACTGAACTATTATGTAAGCCTTGAACCGTGGAATGAACAGTAGTTTTGACATGGTTACAAAACAACGTGATTGTTCCGGTCAAATATTACTTCTCAAACTAAGCATTCACTCAGTTTTCAATTCTAGTTTGAAAATCAACGAGAAGACTAAGCAAACTGAATTCGAACAGTCTAAATTTTGTGAATCAAATTTCTGATTGAATCCATGAACCATTCCATAATCTAATTTTACAAAGCTTTATTTATCATTTAATGACATACTGGCTCATTGTAATGATTTCTGTTGTATTTGTAATGGTATTATTAAGTATCATTCTTTTGCTCAATCAGAAATAAAAATATGAACCAGAGTCTGTAAATTGCCTGTTCATATTGGACTATAGGCCAACAGAAGGAATAAATTTTCTACAATGGAAAAATTCTCCATTACATTCATTAAGTACATTAATGAAGTCAGTTACACCTCAACAAGAACAAAATAAAATTCAGAAAATCTTTGGTTTTTGCAGAATGAGCATTAAGTACGGACAGAAACCATAGTTAGGTCTTCATGAGCAAAGTTAATTATGATGATTTAGGCACAATTTTACTCATGTCTGGGACATCCATAGACAAGCTTATGTTTCTTAAGAAAGAAAACATGGTCTCATACATGAAGCAATTTAACAGCTAACACACTTGGGGTGAACAATAAACCCAATAAACAGTGAAAGGCCACTAGTCTCTAGCTGCCTCATGTTTCTGGACACCTTTGAATGAAATATTGGTTCAACACATAACATACCTCAAGGTATAAACTATATTCACCAAGGTAGACAGATCAAATAGAAGGGCACGTGAACACGACACATATTACCAGATTTCTGGATTTCAAAACGGTAAAATGGACTCGATTAACCAACCATCCTATTCACATTACATCAGTAATTCATCCCAAGCCTACTGCTGGACAACCGAGACGTTCAGCAGAATAACAGCGCTCATGATTTGTAAATACAAATCAGGGCAATGATTATACAGTAGATATGCATATAGAATATTCAACAATATGCAGAAATGTAAAGATCCACTGGCAAAGCAATGTGGCCATGAACACTCCACTCCGATGTGATAGCACAACACAGAATGGACAGTGCTGTTACTCACTGTGTTTATAACTCCTGCTAACACATGTGTCAGCAGAGTCAGCTTACAGGCCTCCCGATATTGCATTGACACGGGAGCTGCATAGAGAAATCTACACGATCCCTGCAACTTACTAACAGGACGTTAAATGAGGAACCTGCCGTCAAATGGACTAGGCCTCGTGCCTCATATACCAGGAAGTTGGCCAGCGTGCTGTGGAGAATCTTGTGGTAGTATTTTAAATAACTAATGACAGCCAAGTGCGACAGTTGTCTAGACAAGAAATCCTGAGCTTGCAAGAGCAAATCTCACCACAGCAGTTTGAGAAACAGAACTCAATAGTACTAGCAATCTATGGGCAGATGCCAGAAACATAAATCATGGAAGTAACAAATCATTTCTGCCCATAATGGAAACTATAATACAATGTTGGAGAGGGGAAAAAAAAACCAAGACCTTACCTGACCTGCTTCCCTTGCTCAATGAGCATCTTCACCATGTCAGCTATTGGATACTGAGCTTTTGCAGCACATAAGCCCCAACCTGTATTATAGGACACGTACATTTAGTCTAAAATTAATACATGCACTTTTGTTTTAAAGATACATGGTATTTTAGGGTATGATAGCTTAAGATTCATTGTGACATTACTGTTTACCTTCTTAATACAGGATTACATTTATTTTTGCTTGTATATTTACTGAAAGACTAAGTAGCTCCTTTGAAATTTTCTATTGATTTAATTATTAACAGTGACAGCGGGTGCTTATCTCACAATAACCATTTCTGCATAATTAGGTAGACTCTACCTGGTCAAGAGCAGCAAGAAAATCCCAAACTCCAAATTTTAATAATTAATGTCAGATGTTTATTTCGGTGATATTTAGCCGAACTAGAAAATGGTATAACATTGTCAGGGCTCTGCAAAATATCTAAAATATTACCTGACACAATCAATCATCCAGGAGCTGTTTTGCAACAACTGTAAACCTTTTAGGATATTGAAGAAACAGACAGTGTACTGAGACCAATATTTCCACAGTCTCACTGTTCTAATCAGAAATAAGCTGGTAATGGGGTGGCAGGCAAATGAAGCAAAAGCAAAGACTTCTGAAACGGGGATTTTATCAGAGTGGAAATTCAATGGTGCACAGTGGGGAAGGTGTTACCAGGTAGGGTAACCATTACTTTTTTTTTTAAATTCTTGTATGGGATGTGGCCATCGCTCACACACAGCATTTATTGTCAATCATGTCTTTCCATGGAGTAGGTCATTTAAGAGTCAACCGCATTGCTAAAGGGACTGAAGTCACATGAAAGCTAGACCAACACAGAAGAAGATTTCCTTCCTGAAAAGGAAGGGCATCAGTGAAACAGATGAGTTTTTACAAAATCAATAGTGGTTACATGGTGTCATAAAGCTAACTTTTAATTCCAGATTTTTATTGGATTCAAATTTCACCATTTGCACCATGATGGAATGTTAACCCATGTCCCTAGAACAATGATTCAGTGACATAAACACTATGCCTTCACCTTTGGGGTTAGTAGGAACTGCCGATGTTGGAGTCTGAGATAACAAGGTGTGGAGCTGGATGAACACAGCAGGCCAGGCAGCATCAGAGGAGCAGGAAAGCTGACGTTTCAGGTCCGGACCCT